CAGTACAGTGTGTTCAATTTAGAAGTTTATCTCCTGCTCTGTTAATTGAACTTTAAATCACACACGATGTCCCTGTAGCTTATTAGCAAAACCGGAAATAACTTCTAAATTAAACAGAATATACCCCAAAAAAGTAAAATTTAAAACATCAGATCTCTTTACAGGAAATTTGGGAGATTGTAGGTCACTTGCAGGAGAGTTGTGGCTAGGGCTGAACAAACAGTGATTTAACTCCTAAATGGCAGAGAATTTCTACTCTCTGCATGATTTTGACATAGTATTAATATTCTTGATGGCCAATTCAGATAAACCAACTGCAGTGGATCGTGGCAACCGTGCGTCTCCTCCAAACATATATGCTCACTGCTACTAAGTATTACATACCTATCTAGCAAAGATGGGCTTTATGGCTGGTGGGGGCCTGTTCCTTCATGTCTCTAGGTCTAATGACTATGCTCCACCGTCTCCCCAAACACAAATCTTCATAACTAGATCAAGATTTACCAGCTGTTTGATCCTACCGGTCTAAGAACATATCCAAATATTTGAGATCAGTATCCTATACCTTATAGAGTAGGCATAGGCAACCTTCGGAGCTTAATGGGGGATATAGTCCACAACATCTGGAGTGCTGAAGGTTGCCTATCCCTGTTCTAGAGGGATGGTCACATACTTCCGAATTGAACATACTCAATGTGAGCCATATAAGTACCAGTGAGACTAATGACATTGTCAAAATAGTCCTGCTAAAGACATAGATATAAACCCTTGTCGACATGCTACCCACAAGCTCCCTTATATGTTGCAATGGGAAAATTAGCTGAAAAAAAAAAAAAGTTTCCTTTTGAAACTTGGCAGATGGCTTTAAATCAAATGCATACTGTATCCAAATGCCTTACACTGGGAAAACAAGTACACAATATACATGAAGTGGCATTTAGTTCCAACATACTTGGCCTCTATCTACCTTTAAGCACACTCACTCTGCTGGAGATGTGGATTGGGAGATGCACAACACTTCACATCTTCTGGCTTGTTCAATATTGTAATATTTCTAGCTGAAGATACAAACTATGATCCAGAATGCAACCACCCATGAGTTTCCTTTAAAACAGTGGTTTTCAACCCAGTCCTCGAGAACCCCCTAACACTCCAGGATTAGGGATTACCCAGTTGAGTCCAAGGTTTTTTAAGAAGGAAAAAAAAACTTTAAACAGGATCTGGTAGGGGGTACTTGAAGACTGGGTTGGAACCCCTGTTTTATAACAAGAGATATACTTGTTGAACATGCTGCCAGAAGCGGTAGAGTTAGGAAATCCCTTTTCCTCCATATTATCTAAGCAGCAATCACAACTATCGCTCACGCATGGTATTTGACCCAACTACCACGTGCCTAAGCTGTGTCTGACATACATTGCATCACTAAAATATACAAAGAGATGTCAAACTCTCAGGAAACTTGAAACAGTTCCAAGCAGTGTGGGCAGATTGTATCTGGGCAAGTAGACAGTAGCAGTGTGGTCACCCCCCCACACCCAATTTAACCTTTTTCTCCCACCTCTTTCTCTATCCTTAACCAGTGTGCTTAATTACTCCTCAGAAATCAGATATCAATGTTTTGTCTAGATGGAGATCGCTTATGATCTGTATTTAATATCCAAGGTGCAAAGCATTTTACACAAATACTATCTTTGTCCCATTGCCTCTGTATTTTCACTTAATTTGTACATTCTTACTTGCATGTCTTTCAAAAATTGTATTTGGTGAAATTATATGGAAATAAAAATATGCATTTTTAATTTGTGGTCAGGGACAATAAGCCAAGTAATAGTGTTAGTATAAATCAGATGTGTGCCGAAAAAGACATTTGGGTAGGCCTATAAATAAAGAGGGCAAATGGTTTAACACTTTAATATGTGTTGACATTACATAATCAAATGCCAGCCTCAAATCACGCTCTGGTTTAGAGATATCTGGTGTATGCAGGTGATTTCATACGTTCTAGTCTTTGATGTGTACTGGGCTATTTACTAGAGGCTCCTGAAGTAGTGCCTATTCTAAAAGAACAACCTGAAAATGCTGAAGGGACATATTCAAGTTAAGGAATAGTGTCCTGACTTACATAATGAAATTCATGTTGTGAGTGGATTACCGTGTAACCTTAAGAGAGGCTTATGCCCATGTAGCACTGGGAGGATCGGATAAAATTGGACTAGAATTCTGACTGGGTTAAAGGATTATCTCAGTAGGATGAGGTTATGAGTTAAGGTTTTTGAGGTTGTGAGTTAATAAACGATGAGATAGCAAAATTATGTGGATGCCTCTAAGGTATCGATAGAGTACGGATTGACTATATGATATACTAAAATGAACGTTACTGGAAATGGTCAGCACTCTGGTATATGAATGGTTGGTATTGGCAGAATGCCATGTGTGCCAGCAACCTTTCATGGCCATGAGATGAGCTTAATCTAGTATGAGGTACCGGAATGTTTGAGGTTTTAGTAGGTAATTTGGCAGCCAGATGGTGTGCTGAAATGGGCATCGAGTCAAGGCATCGGGTGCTATGGTCAGACAGCCTGGTATGTGAATGCGGACAAGGTAAAGTTACTATGATGCTGCCACCAAAGGTAACTCCATAAGTAACCTCATAATTGTGAGTGGGAAAGACCGACCCGAATTCATTTTCACAAACTGCTGTATTGTCTGGTTAGTATTTGACAGATTCCCCCTCTGTAGAAACCCCCAAGCGTGCAGCAGTCACAGTGGTGCACACAACAAAGAACAGACATTTACTAAAAGAGAGTATGTCACAGAATCAGTTGTCCTCGAAAATGGCTGCAAATCCAGTGTGGGCAGCACTGTCAGATAGGGGAAATTAATGTGTCCTTTCCAGACAGGAGACAACCATGAAAAAGTGTAGGATAATGGTACCAAGGTACTAGTACTTGTGAAATGGACTGGGAATTGCATATGGGTAGTATTGATGGCCTAGTGTCCATACGTAATAGCAGGGGGAATATTCATGAATAAAAGTCTGGCTGTAACATGTTGGAAGGCAGTCAAGGAAATGAATTATATAAAATTGACATGATTTAGTATGTCTTAATGTGTGGAAAGTTTGCTCATATGTAGTAGTGACTGAAGCAGCATTATAAGAGGCAAGGTTAAAACGTACAGGGAGTGATTTTGGCAACTGTGGTAGTTTTGGGAGGGTGAGGATGGCATAGGCAGGATTGGTGTGGTCTAGCATAACAGAGTGGTGTACTTTGAACATAGGCAGTTCTATATTGCCATATCATACTAACAGCAGGAAGGCATCCCTACGAAGTGCCTGGATGATGGGGCTGAAATTGGAGTAAGCTTACCGCAAGTCGAATGAAAGGCAAGTTGTAGCGGCCAATGGGCAGTGTGGCAAGGTATAGGCGTCGAAGGCTAAAGGGCACAGGCAAAACTTTAGTGGTGAGGCGGCCACTTATGTCAGTATGAGAATTAGCGGATGTTTGAAATGATAGGACGTGGGTTGATTAATGGTTTTTGAGTTGTGGGGCAGTAGGAACTGATGCTTATCCCTGGAAGCAGGATGGTATGCAAACAACGCCTAGATGAGGGGTCAAAAAAAGGATGAAGGATGTCCACGGAGGGCCATTTGAAGAGTGTGTTGCAAAGGTCTAGTGAGAGTCTTATGTAGGGAATATGCGGATAAGGCAAGTGCGAAAGGGGGGGAACATAGTACCCACTTGAGTCTGCATGGTAATTAATGCGGGGGCGAGATTTGTGATCGAAGTGAGACAGAATAACAGGCAATGTTACTAAATGATGAGTGTATAGGTACTGAATTTTAATTTACACACCATCTCTTATTATGCTCACCTTAACTTGATATATTATGTATCTGCCGAATTAAATGAACTGAGGGCAAACAGAACTTAAATGACAGGAACCGAGGCAGTGACCACTAGAATGCAACAGCGTCAGTACAGGCTTGAGGCTGTGAAGGCCAACAAACTATACTGAAGTGAATTTGTAGACATTAACTTGTAACATTTCTACAGAAGGAAAGCACCAATGCATAAATTAAAATATCAAATAAGGCTGCAAGCAAGCAACAATTTGAAAAGCTAGGACGTAGGTTGCTTATTTGCTACTGCCCTACAACTCAACAAAGCATGGTAATACAAAATGGCAGACCTGCTCAGTGCATATAAACAACTAGACTGGCAAGAGGCCTGCAAGGGCAGGGATGTGAATTAAAGATGAAAGTGCTATTAATCATAAACACACATATATGCCCTAAACCAGTAAACAGAGTTAGAATTAATTTCTAAACAGAGTCAAACATATACCATACATACCTATGGGGCCAAATGTTCAGAGGGTAGAAAATATCAATTTACTGGAACAAAGTCCAAAAACCTCCAACAGACAATTTGGACCCGTATTTATTTTTATTTTTTAATTAGCTTAAATGCTCACATACACCGAAAGATTACTGAATGCAAAAGCTAAAGACAAGAATAAATAGGGAAAAACTTTGATCAAATAACAGGCAGAAACCCTGAATTAAACATACCAAATATGACCTGATGAGAATACAGTAGTGAGTCATGAAATGGTCAGATTGCAATATATACATATATAATTTTTTTGTTTGCTTTAATTTGCTGGTTCCAAACAACCCTGACAACCCTAATGCAATGGTAGCTCTTAGCAACCTTGTCTAGCACTCAAGCACTATAGAATAGTTATTCTTCTCAGACACTGGCATATCTGATACAGCCATGTATTCAGTGACAAAGGATGCAGAGTGGATCCAGATCAGCTATGTATTGTGGGCCTTTTCCACACATACAGCTAGCCACAGGCATATTTTGTTTACATAGAACAGCACGGCACAGATAATTTCTCCTCTTTTTAGAATTTATTGTACAGACAACTGCACATAGTAAATACAATGCACTTTTTTTTTTTTTTTAAATTATTCCACTTTCGACATCCACATAATTATGATGCCAAATTCAGCTTCTTATTTTGGTTTACTTTTAGCTATATTTGAAAGCATTTACAAATTGTAGAGAGTTGAAAGACAAATGGCTGAATACAAACCCTTCACAAACAGCATTCATAAACAACTACTGACATAAAAAGAAGACATGGTCAGACAGATTATGGTTTCCTGTTTTTTATTATTTTTTATTGCTGTTAATTCAAGGAAATAAGTTTGCATAAAATTGAAATTCTTTTCTAGAAATATAAGTAACCTTTTTTCCAGTAGATAATTGAAATATCAAAGTATATGGTAAACATACAAAGGAAGCAAAGGTAACCCCTCGGCTTACAGTACAGTATCTGAATCCTCATTTTAACCTGCATTTTAGGCATGTCTGGCTGATAGATCATACCAATGAGGTTTCATGGTCTACCTTTCCCATAAACAGCTTAACTGCTTTTTAAACCAATTACGTCCAAAAATAATCAAATAAAATATCTTATTCTTAAATTAAAGCTTTGTATAAACTATATTTATATTTTGCACCAACACTTTAACTGCCTTGTAGCTTCTCAAAATGTAGCATAAAATATTTAAAGGAAAATAGTTTCAACTAATTTTTATTTTTTTTCCGTTCAAGTTTTAGAAATCATGAAGTGGCTTTTATAGATGGAAGCCTTTTCCTCCCTACCATACACCACGGATCTGATATATAAATACATATAAATATATATTTGTATAGATAACCCGTCATTAATTGTGTTGTACTGCCATATTTGGCTTCCTGTGAGACAGAACATAGTACTGATGAAGCCAAAAGTATTAAACAGACTGGAATATCCCATAGGAGGGAATTAAGGAATGCATGGGGGAAGGGCATTGTACAGTGCTGGTAACCCACTGCTGTTTGAACACATGATAAAGATATATACGATTATCTCCCGATAACATCAGTGCACAAAAAAAAATAAAAAATAAAATTATAATAAACTGTTATCTGGAAGAAAGACTTAGTGCATGTTGGTTGGCTATTTAAGATATCTTAAAAAAAATCTGAACAGCAGCATTAAACCTTTGACATTACACGGATACATTTTAACAAACAAAACATTCACATTATGTAGCACACTCAGTGGTAGATTGTTAAAGGTTGAAAATAAATTCAGTTGCTCTACACACTGGGCAGAATGTGGGAGAAACTGTACTAAATACTGTTAGAATCTAAAGTGGAAAATATCTTGTATGTACTGTTGAGAATCTATATACAAACTTGTTGCCAAAATTACATTTCTTTTTAGCCACAGACAAAGGTTGGCTTTCACTCCACTAAATAAAAGCCTGTCTTTCAAAAAGGTCGCTCAATTCATAGTTTCTTAAAATATAAGAAATAAATATTTGGAACAGACTAAAAAAGGCTGAGTGAGGAGTTCATAGTTTTACAAGCATAGGCTTGACAAAGTAAAAAAAAGTATTTGTATTTGCCAGGTTTTGCCCTTCTGACATTTAAATCTGATTCTCAAACTAACTAAAAGGTACATATTTCATTCAACATAGATTCCTTCCTCTTACCCCACCCCCTCCCCCCCCACTCTAGAACCATGCTTTTTGCATGAATTAACACCAAGATCAAATGTTCTCAGGGCGGTTCAAGTTGCTGTAGCAGAGTTAGGCTGAAGATGAACCTGTAAGATTAACACGATGCAGTATACCGAACTTCATATTTGCTTGCAGAGTGCTTCCAAGAAAGTAGCACTGGGAATCCAACAACTTTAATTTGTTTATTTCCGTGTAAGGCTGCGTCCAAATAATGCACAGAATCATTAATGTATAATGTTCAATTCAGGATTTACATTTAATGGCACAGTGCTGCGTTTCTTTTCTCCATTAAACTGGTGGCAAACGATTATCTCCTATAAACAGCATCAAAAAGGTAAACTGAAACTTCCACACCGTAAACTGTACAGGTAGACATTGTCATTTATTATATATTTTTTGTGAACTTGTGTCAGTCAGCAGAATCCAAGGTATCATGGGAGGGGGAAAGGGGAGATGCATACCTCAGCCTGAAAAATCCTAGAACAGGAAAAAGAACTGCTAAGTCAATGCTTATAACGGAAACAGATCATGTATAAATTATAAATTGGGACAAAAAAAAAAGAAAGAAAAAAAAAAAAATGAAAACGAGAGGCACTTTTGTTAACTCAGAATTCAAGCCCCATGTTTTGTTATTCAACCAAATCTGGATTTTTATTTTCAATGTATGATTTTTATATATTTTTTTGCATATGTTATGTTGGGATAATTATTTTTTTGCCCCTTTTGTTTTCATTTGGCCACTCAAGGCTAACACTAAGTACCCTCTTCTCAACAAATATAACAGATACCGACAAGATGTTACTGAGGCACACAGTTATGAAATGATCAGGTACAAAAAGGATTAAAAACATAAGGAAATGTATAAGCTATTTGCACACCCACCCTCCCTATAGTCTTAGCAAGGATCTCACAATCAGTGGTGAGGAAATTCCATAAAAGAACACTGCACCATTGTAGACAGTCAAAGAAAGAAAATACTCATTCACACATACATCTAAGTCACGAACAAGGAGAAGGGAAATACTAGCACATTTAGAAACAAGTCCTTTGGCTACTATCACGATTACCTTGCTGATTGGCATCCATAGAGGGCTGTTTACACTCCTGTGCAAAATGCCCAGCTAACCCACAGTTGGAGCAAAACACATTCCCATTTTTCTTAGGCCCTGATGCATTGGAGTTGGCTACTACATTAGGTGCTGTGTACATTGGATAGAATCTTGGAAAATTTGTTATCTGCTGCATGCCATAATTAGCCTGTCCCCCAAGCACAGGGTCATGCATAAGTCCATTTGTGTAGGGTGTTTGTAGGAAGAAGGGAATCTGTGTCCCATTACTTTGATGTGCTTGGTTGAGGTAGGTGCCATTGCAAATAGAGGGCAATTGAAAGAATGGTGGAACTCTGTACACCTGTCCAGGCATGTGGTTGGCATAATAGTAACTTCCCATAGGTGGTACTCCACTGTTTGCACATCCGCATCGGCGACCACATGAGCCACATGTGCCAGGAGCCATCTGTTGAGGTGGTATGAGGGTGCCATTTGTGCTGGTATTGCCAACAGCAGCACTGATAAAGGAAGTGCTGTCACTCTGTGCAGTACTGTGAGTCAATGCAGGGCTTGGACTTGGTGCTGGTCCAGGTGTGTGGGTAGGAACAGCAGGTGGAATTCCAGCCTGTACCTGTCCCATAATAACATTGGCAGGCTGAGAAGAAGCAGCGGTGACAGCAGCATTTAGCACATTGGTATTTGGGGTGGGCAACACACCAGATGCAAGAGTTGCCCCTGACAAAGGATAAGGTACAGATGGTGGTGCTGGGGACAGGTTAGTGGCTGGGAGAACCAATTTTAGGTTAACAGATGGAGGCATGGCTCCAGCATTTCCATCTAAATGAGGCACTACCTGATTAAGGCCTACTATTTGTGAAACAGGTTTAGATATAGGGTCTGATACCATTACAGGAGATGCTTGAAATCCCCCAGGACTATGAATGGGAATGAAGCCAGGGTTGGTAGAGCCTAGATTCAAGCCAGTCTGTGTGGACCCATTCACTGTACTGGTTTCCGACTGCCCCTGAGAAGGCATTTTCAGCCTGTGAACCGGTAAATGCAAAGAATTGCTTGGCTGACAGTTACGTGGAAGGAAGGATGATGGGCCATGCTGAGAGGAAGCCAGTAGGTCCACACGCTTTTCTGAATCTCCTATGGCTGAAGGAACTGGTGACACCACAAGAGAGCACTGGTGACATGTTTCCCTTGCATGAGACATTGTAACTGGACTAACCGGTGTGCCAAGTGCCTTCATAGCAGTGGGTATGGTGGGTGATATTACAGCTTCCAGCTTCTCAGCACCATTTTGCATCAAGCAATGTATGAAGGGAATGTGAGGATACTTGGAGTTCACGGAGTCATCCAAAAGGCTTTCATTGCGGATACCAAGCTGTGCTGATAGTTTGGCTGCGGATGTATTGCCAGTACCAAAAGATGTGAAACTCGGAACTCTGTTTTTTGTGGAATCCTCAGAGTTACTGTCTGTATCTAGAAATGACACAATCAAAATCATATTAGAAAATGCACTCAAAAAATTAAAGACAAATATAGCAGATTCCTTGGGACAGGAAATTTTACAAACAGTAAATAATTTACTTTTATAAATAATAAAATGAAAATTCCAACTCAACATGTGAAATTTAGCAAACTGATTTATAAAGTCATCTAAATTTTGAACTGGCTCATTAACAACAAGGTGAATATATGGTATATATGCAAGTAATTTCATATAGCAACAAATTACACTTGCCTTTTGGCTGATGGGTATTTAATGTATCCAAGGTTAAACACACCATCACTCACATCTGATAACTAAAATGTACTATAGGAGACACTGCACACAGTTATTTAGATAATTGTCACAGATACTGTAATTTTACAGCTGACTGGGGACCATCATTTGTTTTTCCTCATTTCAATATTTTCTAGTCTATGACCAAGATTTGACAACAGGCTGTATGTTGAATGGCTGAATCAAGCATCCAATAAAAACGCCAAATTCAAATTAAGCTGATGTCTTTTCCTGGAGCTGTTATTGTCTATTTTATTTTACAAGTTAGAGAGGAAAAACTAACATTCTGTACTAGCAGAATTGCTAGCAAATGTATAGCTTAAAAAAAAACAAAAAAAAACAAAACCCTTCCATCACCTGTCAATTATTGCAGAGATATTTAGGCAAAGAAATAAGCAACAATAGAATGGTTTACTAGCTCTTCCTCAATGCAAGTACAATGGTGCGCAGCGGCTGCTGTGACTATTGTGATTGCTTGTCACACTTTTCCAAAGAAGTAAAGGAATGCTGTAACAGATGTCACTTGGTTCAGACACCAACATAATAAATTTGTAAGGAAGTCAGAAGTCAGCATCATATATTACCAAGTAAGGTCTATTTAAAAAAAATAAAAAAAATTAAAAAAAAATGTAAGGAAGTGTTTTCACTTCCACGTCCTAGGGACAAGCTCAGGCACATGCTGGGCCAGAGTGCACCTACTTTCCCGCCAACGAAAAAGCCCCTGAAAGTATGTGTTGGGAAAAGAGGGGTAGGCTTGCAAAGATTGCAGACAGATCCACAAAGAAAAAGTAAAAAACAATTTGTAAATAAATACAACCTAATACAATGTGCTTAAACTTTAAAAGACGATACACTAAACACATAATTAGAGGAATTAGAGGAATTAGTCAAAACCATTAAAGATCAGATTAATTTATATATGTGGACAAATGCAAGCTAATCTAATTCTAAATCACAGTATCTAAAACTAGGATTAAACATGAAAACAGAAAAAAACAGAATAGTTTTAAAGATTTCTTTTATTTGCCAAACCTGATGTTCTCAGGATCATCCATAGAATCAAATAGAAGGTGAATTTTAACATAATGGGCTGTTACAAAACAATAATTTTACACTGATAAGAAAATAGAATTAAGGTATATGAAAAAGATTAAATGAACACTATAGTTTTAAGAATACATAACTGTATTCCTACAATACCTACTTGTATTGGAAGTTGTATCTGCCTCTCAACGGAGTAGTGAAAATCAAAATGTAAGTCTCACGCAACCTTGGGCAACTTACTGCCACTGTTGGACTGCAACTGCCTCCTTCACCACAATTGATTGCAAAAGTAGCTAGGAGAACTATGGCTAGCAAAACCTAGGAGAACCAGATGTTTGTTTCCATAAAATTAAAAAGTAACTAAAATAATTAATAGAGTACATGAAAGCAAAATAATTTTCAACAAAATAAGCACCCAGAGATAGTTCAATAAGAAGGCAAATGAGAGCAACATTGCACACACACCAATGATTTTTCAAGGGTTAACCACCGGTACAAGAAATATTCCACTGTGTAATAGGATTTCACACTGACCCATCAGGGCAAAGTTTTTGATATTTGTACACTTTGCAAGTGCTGATCTAACATTATTAGATTGTATTTAAATGCTCCCCCCTCTAGGTGGTCAGTGCCACTGCCAGGGCCTTGAACAGAGCAACACAAAATAGATACGATAGGTGACAGAACAACTAAATAGGTTGTAGAGAAGATGTGCAACATGACAGACATAAATGTTGTTTTGCAGGCAGACCAGGATACAGAACCAAGGACATTTTTAAATCTCATTTTAGAACGCATACAAAACCATTATAACATTTTGTGTTCACAGTGGTAGGCAATGTCACATTTACAAAGCAGACCAGTATAACCACATGAAGAACTCAACTATATTAGTTGCTAATATGATAGGTGGTTTCAAAATAAGAATGCACTCTTTGACTTGCATGTAGAACCTGTTTTTAACATGTCCTAAAAATTCTGGGCACATCATTAACAAAAAGTAAAAAAATATATTTGAAGTGGAAGGGTTTCAATTTTAAATGGAGTACTCTTGAGACACATGAAACACTCTTGCATAGCTTTTTAAGAAGTCTTGTCTACTTGTTTTGACCATCCTAGAATAACATTAGAAAAGAACATTCCCCTGTTATTCCCACAAACTACCCCTTGAAAGCCAACCTCGATCTTTCTCTTCTTCACTTTCAAAGCTCTCTCTCCTGTCATGTCTGGGACTAGAGGGGGAACTGTAGCTCTCCGAAGAGGTTTCTCCACCTGTTTCATGCCCAGACCCAACCTCCAAAATGGGCTCTAGAAACAAGAAAGACAAACATGTTCTTTCAACCATTTATGTCTATCTATTTCTTAAACAAACCAAGCAAATAAAACTTAAGAGGTATCTTACCATGCATCACATTAGAAGAGGCATGTAAAAGGAAACTGCCATAATAACTATAATTTAAAAGATAAAGGCAGAAAACCATTTAAAGTTTTTCAGTAATAATGTTTTGCATGATCTGGGTTATAATGATCCATTTATATTAAGATCACTGATTCATCAGAGTATATAACTGTTACAATGTGTACCCTGAGACTGCACCGCTTTGCTTAGACTATGTTTGGAAATAAAAGTACTTTACCCAACAAGTGTGTGAGAATGCACAAGAATATCATTTTACATTGGTTCACTTACTATGTTAAGAACCACACTTTATGCATTTTCCATTAGTAAGGAGAGACAATTTTGCTGGCAACCATTTACTTATATACAGGCTGTATGTAACAGAGCGGGAGGTACCGAGACAACTAATAATTTATGATGTTGGTATTATCTATTATTTTGACCCGTTTGAAGACTCTGTAAATGTCAACACAGGGGTTTACTGCATATGTAATCAGGAGGTTAGCACCCAAGTATGTCAGGAATGCATGTACTGTAGAATATGGAATATGCTGAAAGCCAAACCCCAGCATATAGGTATGTAACGACTATATGCTTGATTTGTAAATCCCCATTATAAAAAGGTCACTTTAATAAAGGCGTTCTAGACCCTTACATGAATACTTAATACTCAAGTAAAAACTAACATAGCTTAATATGCTGGTTTAAAACAGACTAAAATGTAAATATCTATATAAAAAAATAAATATATACACATACATACATACACATAAAAAAAGCAGCTTGCACTCACGGACTTGAAAAAGTGAAAACAGGAATTTCTTTATTCAAATAGCTGTCACAACATTGTCACACCAATGTTTCAGCCCTCATCCGGGGGTTTCCTCAGGATGAACTGACAATACCACACTAACCTCCAATGCTGTATTATATACCCGATAAGAAAAAGAAAATGACTCAGCGCAGGTGAAGTGAACCGGAGTGTCGGCGTCTCCCACAACCATGTGCGCATGTGCCAGCGTGAGAAACCCGGAAGTGCTGTATGCGGACGTGACTGGTTGTTATAGTTACATTAGAACGCCAAAACACTCCACAGAAACACAGAACAGATCCCAACTAATGTATAGAAAAGACACCAAGTGCCCAATCAAAAAGCACCAAAATGCTATATGTACTAAGACCCAGTATCCATATGCAGAAGGCATCTACCAGTTTAAGAGATCATACATATACTCCCTTAATAACCACTAATATAGAGGCTACTCCTTAAAAGAGAATAATTCTATCGGTAATAGAATCCGACTACTGCCCACATGCAGAGTTAACAGATCTAGACTGCAATTTTAAAGAAATACCATGCTGGAAAACAAGTCTGAACATAAAGACTAGAACAGCCATTTCCAAACTTAAGTTGCTGCTCAAAACTATACATATATACATAATAGTAACATTGCCACCAAATAGTAATTTAGTCAAAGACAAATAGTTTCTCTTCACACTATATAAGTAGAACATGGGATATGGTGCCAAAACATCTTTAAATATAATCCATGGGACAAAAATCCTCAAAATACTGAAAAAATAAAAATGAAAAATAACAATAAAAATCAAAACTTCACTATGAAGGCGATGTTCCTCAAACAAATGTTCAGATGTAGTTTCCTTATATGAAGGGATGGTAAGATATTAATTCATTTAGTCCACGTGGGGACATTGGGTTTAGTTGAAAGATCCAAAATGTCTCTTTCCATAACATCTTACTGCGGTCCCCCCTATGTGGTTGGGGTATGTGGCCAAAGAATGACCCAACTCTAAAAAATGTTTTGCCACTGGCTTATCTGAGTGGCCATCCCGGTAAGCAGTACGTACATTGGACCTATGTCCCCTAATGCGCTCGCATAATGGAGTATCTGTTTTGCCTATATAGGCTAGCACGCGTGGGCAAGTGAATTTATAAATGACAAACGGGGTCCGACATGTTATAGTATATTGTAACGTTTGTTACTATGTGGATGATTAAAGGTATGTGACAGGACCTTATGTCCACATGTCATGCAACTGAGACATCTAACACTTCCCCTAATCTGAATATTTTGTTCCTTCTGGTAGCTCAAAACACGAGCATATAACGAAGGTTCCTATTTCTGCGATAGCAGATCATGGGTGGTTCCTTGAATGTAGATGGTAAAGAATCATCTGCTGACATCAAATTCCAATTTTTCTTCAACATATTAGTAACTTGACTAGCCCTATTATGATAAGTCATAGGGAAAAAAAGGCTGGATGGCACCTTGGGACTTGGTCTGGCGTGTGCATTCTTTGCTTTCGCTAACGCCTTTTCCAAGATAAATTTGTCATACCCACGCTCCAGGAATTTATTAGTAATCTCACTGATCTGCTGTTGCATAACTGAATTTTCAGAGTTTTGGTAATCACACAGTAACTCATGTAGGTGTGATTTATAGGCCCCCAGGACAAATTGAAGAGTTAGATAATTACTAGTTGAGGAAATAGCTAAAATGACAATGAAGGGGAAAGTTATCATCATGGGTGACTTTAATCTTCCTGATGTAAATTGGAAAACAAAAAATAGCTGCTTGTGCAAGGAGCACACATATTCTAAACTCCCTACTGGGATTGTCTCTAAAACAAGTCATTGAGGAGCCAACTCGTAAAGAGGCCATACTAGATTTAGTGTTAACAAATGGAGATTTGGTATCACATATTACTGTAGGTGAAAGTTTAGGATCCAGTGATCATTAGTAAGTGTGGTTTAATATACGAACAGTGACTGAGTCACACCACACAAAAACTAATGTTTTAGACTTTAGAAAAACAGACTTTTCTAAAATTAGGATATGTGTAAAGGAGTCATCATCAGACTGGAGCAATGGAGTCCAAAAGAAATGGGATTATTTAAAAGTTGCACTGTTGAAGGCAACAGAAAATTGCATTAGGCTTGTCAGAAAAAGCAAAAAATTCAAAAAACCACTGTGGTACTCCGCAAATGTGGCCAGAATGGTAAAACTAAAAGTTAGCATTTAGTAATTATAAGAAAATCCAGAGTGAGGAAGATAGACAGATCTATAAGAATAGGCAGAAAGAGGCTAAGCAAGTTAGAAGGGCTTCCAAATCTCACAGATAGATAGCACAGTCAGTAAAAAAATAAAAAGGGGACAAAATAGTTTAGATACATAAATGAGAAAAGGAAAGTAAAACAAGTATTAGTTAGATTAAAAACAAAAGGAGGAAGGTATGTAGGAGGATAAAGGTCTAGCTAACTGCCTCAATGAATATTTGTGTTCAGTATTTACAGATGAAAATCAAGAAAAGAGGCCTCAGTTAGGAAAAAGGACATATGAGTAATTTGTTACATGTGAGTTTACAAAGGAAGAGGTTCTATTTCAGCTGTCAAAAGTAAAGACAAGTCAATGGGCACTGATAGAATACATCCAAAGTTATTAAAAGAGCTTAGTGGCGTACTATCAAAACCATTAACAGATTTATTTAACCATTGTTAACAGGAGTAGTCCCAGAAGATTGGAAGTAAGCGAATGTTATGCCCATTCACAAGAAAGGTAGTAGGGAGGAGTCGGGCAACTATAGGCCAGTAAGCCTTACTTCAATAGTGGGGAAAGTAATGGAAATCATGTTAAAGGATAGGATTGTTGAACATCTAAAATCACATGGATTTCAAGATCAGAGACAACATTGGTTTACTTCAGGGAGATCATGCCAAACTAATCTAATTGATTTTTTGATTGAGTAACTAAAATAATAGATCAGGGTGGTGCAGTATATTCGAAGCATGGGCTTGTCACCAGTGGGGTACGTCAGGGATCTGTACTTGGACCCATTCTCTTTAATATTTTTTATTAATGACATTGCAGAAGGTCTTAATGGTAAGGCATGTCTTTTTGCTGATGATACGAAGATATGTAACAAGTTTGATTTTCCAGGAGGGATAAGCCAAATGGCAAATGATTTAGGTAAACTAGAAAAATGGTCAGAGTTGTGGCAACTGACATTTAATGTGGGTAAGTGCAAGATAATGCATCGTGGACGTAAAAAACCCAAGGGCAGAGTACAGAATGTTTGATAAAGTCCTAACCTTAACATCTGAGGAAAGGGATTAAGGGGTAATTATTTCTGATGAATTAAAGGTAGGCAGACAATGTAATAGAGTAGCTGGAAATGCTAGCAGAATGCTTGGTTGTATAGGGAGAGGTATTAGCAGTAGAAAGAGGGAAGTGCTCATGCCATTGTACAGACCGTTTCTCAAGAAGGATATTGATACTTTGTATAGAGTTCAGAGAAGGGCTACTAAACTGGTTCATGGATTGCAGGATAACACTTTCAAGGAAAGGTTAAAGGATCTTAACATGTATAGCTTGGAGGAAAGATTAGACATGGGGGATATGATAGAAACATTTAAATATATAAAAGGAATTAACACAGTAAAGGAGGAGACAATATTTAAAAGAAGAAAAACTACCACAACAAGAGGACAGTCTTAAATTAGAGGGACAAAGGTTTAAAAATAATATCAGGAAGTATTACTTTACTGAGAGGGTAGTGGATGCATGGAATAGCCTTCCAGCCGAAGTGGTAGAGGTTAACACAGTAAAGGAGTTTAAGCATGCGTGGGATAGGCATAAGGCTACCCCCTAACTATAAGATAAGGCCAGGGACTAATGAAAGTATTTAGAACATTGGGCAGACTAGATAGGCTGAATGTTTTTTATCTGCTGTCACATTCTATGTTTCTATGTATGTATGTATGTCATTTATATGCAAGTTTCCAATCATGTATTAATGGGCCTATAGTATCATGGTGCAATGCTGGAAGTGTTGCAGAGGTTTTTTTTGTTTGTTTTTTTAGCTTAGCCCTGGTGAGTATAAAGCAAAACCTGGAGTGTGTACTATGGCTCACAATGGTGAATAACGTTTAGCCTAGCTGGTAGCATGTAACTTCACATTTTAAACCCTGAATATAAAAAAAAATCTCCAGAAGTAAAGCAGCATCAGAATTCCTTATGACAGGCATGCTTTTAAACCAGAGGCAGACTTAGTCGACTCAACTAGAGAGGCCTTGGAAGTAACAAATGCTGTTGCAAACATGAATGTGTGAATAACTCAAACAAAACCTGAAACCGATCATTACAAAACATGTACCATACCTTTAACAATACTGTTCTTCATAATCTGAGTTGGCTTGACCCCATTCACTATGCAGACGGACTGGCCTTCAATTTTCTCCACATTTCTGATTGGGGGTAAGAAAAACATATAAAAATGTAAAAAGCAAACATACATAGATCAGCTACATAGCACCAAAATACCAGTCTAAAAAGGCATTCACTCTCAGAACAATGCCTGCATGATGCCTGCCAAACCATTACATGCAAAAAGACAAACACCAACATACAGATATGAGCAAAAAACAGTATATACACTACAAATGTGAAATAGAGACGTATAACTGGAAGAATTCCCAGGTGTACCTCACAGACACCCAAGAGACAACATAAAATAGCAAAAAAAGTGGAAAACACCCAGAATACGTATGAGTTAATATATGGATTGTAAAACAACCTGATATAGGATGTGATCCATTTATGATTTCTGTGTAAGAATCAAAATGCTGACATAGCGTGATACAATAAAAAAGGAATAAATGTATAAATATAAGTGATTGTAGATACACTCACAAACGCACGTGAAATAAGGCTTTTCACCCTCTCAGGGGTAATATGTAGTACGATGAATGGACTGGAAAATCACCTCATAGGATATATGCAAATAAAGGAAATCGAAGATAGTGAAGTTTGTTATAAAAATACAAAATCACATTTATTGGTCACACTTACATGTGTGTATATCACAAAGAGCGTATCTCCCAATAACCTGGAACTCCATACAGTGTGGTCATCAGTCCAAAATAGGATCTAACAGGAGTGGTTATGAGTAAACAGCCAGAATGCAAATAAATAAAAAGTTAAAATGCAAAGTAAAACAACAATACAGAATATAAGTCCATATAGAAAGAATCCAACGCGTTTCGTCCTGTAGAAGTCTGGACTGATGACCACACTGTATGGAGTTCCAGGTTATTGGGAGATACGCTCTTTGTGATATACACACATGTAAGTGTGACCAATAAATGTGATTTTGTATTTTTATAACAAACTTCACTATCTTTTTTTTTTTTAAATTTTTCTTTATTTCCGATTATATAAATTTATGGGATACAGAAAAAAGAAATAGGTGGCATTCAATGCATACATAATAGGGTCATATAACAGTTCGTGCAATTGCATATATCGTATCGTTCTGTGGGAAGATGACTGCATGGTCCCTGGAGCGGTTTTAATAATACCGTATATACTCGAGTATAAGCCGACCCGAATATAAGCCGAGGCCCCTAATTTTACCCCAAAAAACTGGGAAAACTTATTGACTCGAGTATAAGACTAGGGTGTGAAATGCAGCAGCTACTGGTAAATTTCTAAATAAAATTAGATCCTAAAAAAATTATATTAATTGAATATTTATTTACAGTGTGTGTATATGATGAATGCAGTGTGTGTGTATGAGTGCGCAGTGTGTGTATAAATGCAGTGTGTATATGAGTGCGCAGTGTGTGTATGAATGCAGTGTGTGTGTATATGAGTGCGCAGTGTGTGTATAAATGCAGTGTGTATATGAGTGCGCAGTGTGTGTATAAATGCAGTGTGTATATGAGTGCGCAGTGTGTGTGTATGAGTGCAGTGTATGTGTGTATGAATGCAGTATGTGTGTATGAGTGCAGTGTGTGTATGAATGCAGTGTGTGTGTATGAATGCAGTGTGTGTGTATGAATGCAGTGTGTATGAATGCAGTGTGTGTATGAATGCAGTGTGTGTATGAGTGCAGTGTGTGTGTATGAGTGCGGTGTGTGTGTATGAGTGCGGTGTGTGTATGAATGCAGGGTGTGTGTATGAGTGCAGTGTGTGTGTATGAATGCAGTGTGTGTGTGTGTGTGTGTGTATGAATGCAGTGTGTGTGTGTGTGTGTGTGTATGAATGCAGTGTGTGTGTGGTGCAGTGTGTGTTTGTATAGGAGTTGCGGTGTGTGTATGGGTGCGGTGTGTGTATGGAGGTGCGGTGTGTGTGTGTGAGTTGCGGTGTGAGGTGCGGTGTGTGTGTGGTGCGGTGTGTGTGTGTGGTGCGGTGTGTGTGTGTGGTGCAGTGTGTGTGTGTGTGCGGTGTGTGTGTGTGTGTGATGCGGTGTGTGTGTGTGGAGTGCGGTGTGTGTGTGTGTGTGTGATGCAGTGTGTGTGTGTGATGCAGTGTGTGTGTGTGATGCAGTGTGTGTGTGTGATGCAGTGTGTGTGTTTGTGTTGCAGAGCCTTGGTGGGGGGTGGGCATTTTTATAAAAAAAAAATATATAATATTATTTATTATTTTAATTTTTTTGGTTATATTATTTTTTTTAATTATTTTTTATTATTATTAATTAATATTATTTAAATTTTTTTGTTTTATTATTATTTTTAATATTTTATTATTATATTTATTTTGTTGTCCCCCCTCCCTGCTTGATACATGGCAGGGAGGGGGGCTCTCCTTCCCTGGTGGTCCAGTGGCATTGGCAGTTCAGTGGGGGGAGGAGGGGGGCTGGCAGAGCTGTTACTTACCTCTCCAGCAGCTCCTGTCAGCTCTCTCCTCCTCCGCGCCGGTCCGTGCAGCTCTTCTGTCAGCTTACCACTGTAAGTCTCGCGAGAGCTGCACTATGACCCCGCGGCTCTCGCGAGACTTACACTGGGAGCTGACGAGGTGCTGACCGGACCGGCGCGGAGGAGGAGAAAGCTGCAGGAGACAGGAGCTGCAGGAGAGGTAAGTAACAGCTCTGCCAGCCCCCAGTCTGTATTATGGCAATGTAAATTGGCATAATGCAGACACTGACTCGAGTATAAGCCGAGTTGGGGTTTTTCAGCACAAAAAATGTGCTGAAAAACTCGGCTTATACTCAAGTATATACGGTATGTTAACTCCTGTATTATTCAATCGGATACGGGGCAGTCTCTGTCATAAGTCATCGGAGAGATCGGAGTGTAACTTAGGTCGGCAACGAGCCATGGGTGAAAACATGAAACAGGGGAGGGGGTGGGGGTTAGGGGTGTCCTGCCTCTTACATCATCATAATATGGTAGTGAGTGTGCCTTGAATGGTGTCTACCATGGTGACTCAAAATGGGGCTGTAAGTCGCTAGCACGTCTGGGCCTTCGGTGCGCTAATCTAAGGGCGTCCGAGTCCTTTGCCCTCCCAAGGGCTTCCCCCAGAATTCCGTCCAGGGGCTCCATCTCTGGAGATGTATGTGTCTTTTCCCCATCAGTGACCAGTGGATATCCTCCATGCATCTTGTGTGTTCTACAAACTTCACTATCTTCGATTTCCTTCATTTGCATATATCCTATGAGGTGATTTTCCAGTCCATTCATCGTACTACATATTACCCCTGAGAGGGTGAAAAGCCTTATTTCACGTGCATTTGTGAGTATCTACAATCACTTATATTTATACATTTATTCCTTTTTTACTGTATCACGCTATGTCAGCATTTTGATTCTTACACAGAATTCATAAATGGATCACATCCTATATCAGGTTGTTTTACAATCCATATATTAACTCATACGTATTCTGGGTGTTTTCCACTTTTTTTACCAACATACAGATGCCTCCTTTTTCTTGAGTAAAAACTGCTATAGTACTTGGTAAACCGCTTAAGAAATTGTGTCAGTGAATATACATGGTCAGTCAGGGAAATTGTTTTGTGTGCACTCATGCTCAGTTTGAGCTTCATAAAGCCTTCGTTTTACATTTGCTAAATTGAACTCAGTAAGCCAACTTGTAAACCTCATCAAGTCACTTACCTGTAATCCAGCTGCGAGAGTGTCTTTTACACTCTGCTTCTGGGAAATCCTTACTAGTGAGGACGTCTTAGGCCAATTCAATGCTTCTCTATGGTGGGCCTCACACAAATACTTTGAACGAGTGTCCAAAGCAAGAGAGGAAGAGCACACTCCAGGCTGACAGTAACTGAGAGGTCATTATTAATATTAAATATAGATTATAATATTTATCTTTTGCCCCCTATTGTGACTTTTCCTACGAAATAATACTATTAAAAAATATTATTTATTTTGATATAATTTACTCACTTTATTAGGGACACATAGTTCACAAATAAAGCACTTCAACAAGCTTAAGTGCTTTATGTGTAGGTAGTAACCCTTCAAGGGGAAAGTAGTCAAATGGTATAAGTAAACCTGTCATTGCTTCCATCCCCCCAATCCTTAACTGATATTTCTACTTTGTACTGTCATTATACAGGAAGCACACTTTTTTTCTTCACACTACATAGTGATACCACATTATGTACAGATACGCCACTGTCCAAATACAAAACAAAAATTACTATTTAGCAGTGTTCATTTTAGCCGACTAAATCTCCAGTAGGCTTGAGCCGACTAAATCTCAAGTAGGCTTGAGCCGACTAAATCTCCAGTAGGCTTGAGCCGACTAAATCTCCAGTAGGCTTGAGCCGACTAAATCTCCAGTAGGCTTGAGCCGACTAAATCTCCAGTAGGCTTGAGCCGACTAAATCTCCAGTAGGCTTGAGCCGACTAAATCTCCAATAGGCTTGAGCCGACTAAATCTCCAGTAGGCTTGAGCCGACTAAATCTCCAGTAGGCTTGAGTGGAGATTTTAGTCAACACAACTAAAATCTAATGACTTTAAATAAAACCTCTGTCTCTTTTACCCCTTCCCCAGCCCCTCTGTGTCTTTAGGCGTCTCTCCCAAACCCTGGTGTGTCTCTTTTGTCCCTTTCACAGCCCCTCTGTGCAGTGTTAATTTTGGCAAACTATGACTAAAACTACATTTCAATTCACTTTTAGTTATAGTCTTTTGACTAAAATGCCATTTTAGTCATCTGAATTTTTAGTCTTAGTCGACTAAATGCCAAAAATGTTAGTCGACTAAAATTGTTAGTCTACAAAATTAACTGCTGTTTAGTAGATATACCCCAAATAAAAACGTGAATTTTTCATAGGAACATATCTGAAACCAATCTGTGACTGTCATTACACAGGCTTCCCAGTGTAGCTCAGTGAAAAGTCTTTGCAAGGAGGTGCTCTTGGCTCTGAGCTAAACAAACCAGGAAGTAACAGCACGTGTCTAATTGACAGCCACGGGTTGTGTAACAAGGTTAATTGATGAAAGTTTTAATTTCTAAACACTAAATGCCATAATCACACATTACATCCTCTACAGTAACACATCCCCCTCCACTCCCTGTGGGGCTTCAGATTTGGGCCCTGTGGGTAAAATCAGGGCCGACCCTCTGAGTCCAGGCCTTGAGCTGTGTAAGGGACTCCAAAATGTCTGCTGGGAGGCCAGGCCTGCAGTATCCCTTTAATTACTGGTAACCTTAATTACTTGGCTAGCAGGACACAGGAAACCACAACAGCTGGGAAATGTGAGCATGTCTAAATCTGAATAACGGCCTGTGCCAAGTCTAAGTGAATAAGTAGACATTACCACCACTCAGATACAAGATCAATGCAGCAAAGACCTATGAATATACGCATGAAATGAGGGTTTAAAGCTGCCTTGTAAAACAGGGGGGAAAAAGTACAATAATCCACTTTTTTTTTTTATAAAAGATAATGGGCAAATTTATAATGCAGTGAATTTTATCTTTTAGAAATTTTAACCTTCATACTATTTCTCCAGTACTTTGACAAGAAAAGGAAAATCAAAAATTACCTTTCGGATGTGGATTCTGAGCCGGCTGGGAATGAATAACATTTATCTGTTGCGCGCTGGAAAGACAGCAACGGTTTTAGTATCTAATTTGTTGCACAAGCATACATTACAATAGATGTATAAAGACAGAGTGCTTTAAACACCATGCCAGGGTCACACATACAACTATAGTTTTTGTAACACACAACACATTCCAAAAAACACTAAACAAAAAAATAAGATTAAATAAATCCAAAGAAATTACCCCCAACCCCCATTTTAACGAGTCAACATTTTGCCTTTTTAACTGGGGTTTGAAAATGGCTGGAAACCTTACAGTGGGGAGGGAGGGCCAGGGCACTGCAATGGTTATGGTGCTTCAAGTGTTCCTTTAAATAAATATATCTATAGAATGTAAAATTAATCTAGAACTTACAACAGACAAGTGATAAAACCAAAGCAATTTAAGGTTGTCAATACAGTTTTTTGTTTTTTAAACTGCAAAATACAGCTCACCTGGTGCCCTGAGTTTCTGTAGTGCTCGTAATGCAGGCAAATAGGACCGTTTTTGTTCCTCCAGTCTGTGCCACCATTTTGTTCGCAGTGTGGCATGTGAAGTCTGTTTAAAGAGCAACTTTTAGGACCCAGGGTGCTGTTGAGACAGTAAAGCATGTTATGGACACATTCAATATACGCCCATCAGAAAAATATCAAATAACAAATGCAATTACAAAAGTACACACCATAAGCGTATGACTGCACATAGCCCTGCTTTATTAAATTGTTTCCCCAACACAGACATGTACTCCGCCTGATCTCGCTTAACGATTATCTACTAAACAGCAATCACACACTACTTCACGGACAAAATCAGAACTAGAGGATACTTGGATTTTGCTAAATATATGATCACCAGTTTCCACTTGCGTCATAAATGAGAAAGAACCATGCAGCCTTAAAACTAAACTTAAAACAAATCTTTTAAACTTTACATAGCACTGCTAAGCTCCTAAAATATCTTGGCATTCCTTTAACAAGTAAAAAAATTTTGACAAGAAAATTTGAAAATATGGAGTATTTTTCAACTTGTTCATGGTGACTCGTTTGCAAATGTTTATATTAGTGCCTTCCTAGGGTCTATCAACTCTGTTAGTGGATCTACTCTTTTAATACAAAATCAGGACCATTTGTCAACAAGAGTTTTGTATCTGAAAACCACTCCATGCTATCCAAGTCCTCCCTCAGCCCGCCTTCTGGATGACCTTCCAGGAAAAGTGACATCAAAGGCTGTAGGGAGAACTTGGATTAATCATGGGACCTGGGATAAGTGTGTTTTTTCTTCTGTTGGGGGATATGCCAGTAAGGGCTTCTCTAACCAAAAACAGTTCTTTATTTAAAAAAAAAAAAAAAAAGGTGATGGAGTAAAACTCCCAGTTGCAGATGAAAGTGAGCTTGTGTCTCCTGACCAGACTCAATATTTTTTTTTTCTTAAATGCGCAATTTCAGGATCCCAACAATTTTGGAATCCTGTGCATATTCCATGATGTTGAATCACAATAATGGCCAGATGAGCAATAGAAAACCATGAAATCCCATCAACTCTGTATTACTATAGCACATTTTTATCACAAGTCAAAAAATTTAAAATGATGCATGCGACTAATGGGCAGTGAGATAGTGAGTCCTGCTTCTCTAGAATTCGATGGATACATTCCACTTCATAGAAACACCAAATTGTTATAAAAACGCTTACTGTGCAACTGGACATTTTCCAGCAGGCTTCTTGTGTGCCACATGCTGCTGAATATCTAAGAGGAAACAGAAAATCATATCAGACAATAAGTGCCTGCCAACAAGGACCAATAACTAATATTCATGTAAAGATTGGGTTTGCCTTTTCATTAAAAGACCAACAGTTCATAGACATTGCCATGTAGATTAGAAGTAGACCTGGAAAATATACAAATTGATTGATTTCAATCAACTGAGGGTATTTTATCAATCAGCTATAAAAGTTTAAAGTCTGTACATAACGCACCTTCTTCCTGACTGGAGGCCTCGGAGCTGTCTTCTTTAAAAAGCTCTGGAGTTTTGCATGACTTGGGAGCGGCCACTAAGTTATCTGTAAAACATCAAAGAGGAACATATGTCAATAATGTTCTCTCATAAAGAAGAGACAAGGATACTTTGAGACATTGAAAGTATTATTGTGTTCATAGTGAGATACAATAAGTGTCAATGACATCCCACCACTGAAAAAAAAATATCTAAGAGCTTTGTTCAACTATCTTCACAAAGTAATTTTAAACAAATGCCACAATTTGCATAATAACACAAATAAAAGTAACTGCCAGTCTTTATCAGTCACATTTTGCTTAAAAGATAATATACAGAAGTTTAAATAAGGCTTCATGTTTTACCGCATTACAGACCTCTTTTTGCCATTCTATTGCTAAACAGCAACGTTGTGTTGAGTGTTTGTAGTGTAGCAATCAATTGTCCACACTTTGATTTTGGAATTTCTACAACTCTCTCAGCTTAGCATAATCAATTCAAAAGGATTAGCTTTGAAGTATTGTGACATGTATGGCATTAACTCTGCTCCTCTAGCTAATCTGGAATCACTGCACGAACAGCCTTGTTGTACAAAAGTGAATGCCTACATTTCTGTTAATGCACTAAGCTCTGATAAACATTACCACATCAGATATGTGGACCGATTGTGTTTTGTGACACCTAGAATCCAAAAAAAACCAGAAGGATTTTAAAAATATATTGCCAGGGGAGGTTTTATGCACCACATGTTTGTGTTATCTGGTTAAATGCAATCTTACATGATATTAGTATCATACAGTCTTTTTGCATTAATTCACATACAACAAACATAGTACACAACCTCAAATAAAGCACAGTAAATATATAAATTTCATATAAAGCACAGAACTATCATGAGCCTTGTAGTGGGTGGAAGTGGCATTATGCACATGTCAGCTAAAGGCAGAGAAAGAAAAGGAGAATGGTGTGTGAAATTCTTTAAACTGTGTGTGTGTGTATAATGAATGCAGAGTGTGTGTGTGTGTGTGTGTGTGTGTGTGTGTGTGTGTATATATATATATATAATGAATGCAGAGTGTGCGTGTGTGTATATAATGAATGCAGAGTGTGCGTGTGTGTATACAATGAATGCAGAGTGTGTGTGTGTGTGTGTATACAATGAATGCAGAGTGTGTGTGTGTATATAATGAATGCAGAGTGTGTGTGTGTATATAATGAATGCAGAGTGTGTGTGTGTGTGTATGTATATAATGAATGCAGAGTGTGTGTGTGTGTGTATGTATATAATGAATGCAGAGTGTGTGTGTGTGTGTGTATGTATGTATATAATGAATGCAGAGTGTGTGTGTGTGTGTGTATGTATGTATATAATGAATGCAGAGTGTGTGTGTGTGTGTGTGTATGTATATAATGAATGCAGAGTGTGTGTGTGTATATAATGAATGCAGAGTGAGTGTGTGTATATAATGAATGCAGAGTGAGTGTGTGTATATAATGAATGCAGAGTGAGTGTGTATATAATGAATGCAGAGTGAGTGTGTGTATATAATGAATGCAGAGTGAGTGTGTATATAATGAATGCAGAGTGAGTGTGTATATAATGAATGCAGAGTGGGTGTGTGTATATAATGAATGCAGAGTGGGTGTGTGTATATAATGAATGCAGAGTGGGTGTGTGCATATAATGAATGCAGAGTGGGTGTGTGCATATAATGAATGCAGAGTGGGTGTGTGTGTGCATATATATATATATAATGAATGCAGAGAGTGTGTGTGTGTGTGTGTATATAGATATTGATAGATATATAGATCTAGATATTGATAGAGAGATAGATATACAGAGATATAGATAAAATATATATATATATATATATATATCAGAGTGTGTGTGATTCGGTGGCATGTATTGAGCAGTGGGGGCATGCAGGAAGCTCTTACCATACCAGCAGCTCCCTGTGTAAATCTTGCGGTCTGTGTGCTGCGCGGAGCGTTGCAATGGTAACCTGTGGCAACGTTCTGACGGCCGCGGGACTCGCAAGATTTACACAGGGAGCTGCTGGTATGGTAAGTAAGAGCTTGCTGTGGGCCCTCCAGGACCGCTGGGCTTGACATGGGCCCAGTGGTCCTGTTATGTATTATTGCCAATATCAGTATCTTTATTGGCCGATAGCGATATTGCCGAAAATACCGAATGTCAGACGATATCCGCAAAACCGATAATCGGTCGATCCCTAGTGTCTACACACTTTGTTGGCTTGTCTTGTTCTATTTACTTAAATTTTACTTCTTTACTTGATTGATTTCTTTCTTTTCTTACTGCAATGTGTTTGTACAGCGCTACGGAATGTGATGGCGCTATATAAATCATAAAATAATAATTTAGGGTTTTATCTGATAGTGGGGAGGCTGGTTTTGTATGGTATAGACTTGGGATGTCTGTGTACCTACTTTATCCCCTTTTATTCCCTGTCAGTTGTGTGTTTATCTTACAGTTTGTCAGTACATGATAAATGTTCTCCTTGTTAACAGACGATCAGATGATACTCACGGATTCCCTGGGGAATCCTCAACCCATGCTACAAGGACAACTCTCTTTAGTGGCCTGGCGTCTTTCGGGGGTGTTTGATGCACCGATTATTTATCGTCAACGGCTAGAGATATACTCTGGGACTCAAGTGGCCCTTGGAACGAGAAAGTGTTACCTCTCAGCTTGGAATTCACGGGTCAATTGGTCGGATTTCAGACATTCGAGAATTCCACGTGGATGCCTTCTCGTATTATCCGGAAGGTGTCACGATGTACAAGATGGACTCAATGTTGTTTTTTTTCCCCATAATTTTTTTTCCATTGGAACCCAACTTTACGAGGTCCAGACACTGCACGCCTACGGCCAGGCTACGATGACCTCTTCCCGACAATTATTGGTGTCCTACGTTAAGCCACATGGGCAAATCTCAGTTACCACCTTGACCCGCTGGGTACGATGGCTTTTATATCTTGCCGGGATTTACCCTTCCTTCGGCGCACACTCTGTTTTGGGTGCGGCGTCCTTTTCCACCTTCACAGCAGGGGCCTCCTTATCAGATATATTGCTCTCTGTAGACTAGTGACAAGAACCGAGTTTTACGCTCACCCGTCCACCATTGCCACTTTCTCTCTATTACCTTAGCTTTAAAAATGCAAAATATGAAGCCTCCTGTCATGTGATGAAATTGAAGATTATACTAGCTATAGTGTACTAATAATCTAAATTTTAATAATGACAGGAGGCAAGTAATTTCCCCCCTATTGAATTTCCCTCCCATTCAGGCGGGTTTGCATCTCCGGGTAGATGATGTAGGTTATCAATATGATACTGGTCGTTTACTTGTGATTATGTAATTGACTCTATTCATCCTAAATGGAAAGTTGGGGTTGTTTTTCATATATAGTTGATATATGTATAGATATTATATATTGGGTAGCTATATTATGATACGTTTGTTAACTTTTATAGATCACGATAGATTGCGATCGTACCAGATTATTGCGCACCTTTTATGTGAGGGTTTACATTTCATATCACTAAAACACACTGTCTCTTTCAGCTTAAAAGACACAAAGAGATCGTCTACATCAAGAGTACAAGGATATTCATTGTTCCCAGTTTTGAATGAATAACCATTCTTCATCGTTCCTGGAATTTGAACCGTCTTCCTTATTCCATATGGTTCTTCAGTTGATCATGTGACTTGTGATGTCGCTGTTATCAAGAGGAAGTGACTCAGTGGAAGGCGTATCTTATACTCCCTGCCTGTCTCTGATTGGTTCACATATACATACATATATAGACACATATATATATATATACATATCTACATATATATATATATATATATATACACATATATATATATATACACACACACATATATACGTCCCAGGTCCCAGCACTCAATGCTCCCGGTCTTTTGATGCTCCGGTGCTGTCTCCAACCAAATTGTATACAATACCAGTAGAGAGCACTCCGGAGTCTTTCAAGGTAAATTTCATCTGTTGCTTTATTGAGCAATTACAAATTCACACAACGTTCCAGTCATATATATATATCTATCTTATGGAGTAGTAAAGGAAGATTATGCAATATACTCTCCTCCTGTCATTAAAATTATTAGTACACCAAAGCTATTACAATCTTCAAATCTATGTACTTGTTCACAATTGACTACAGTAAACCACCACTTGTACACAGTATCTAGTTAGCAAGCAGCCCATTTTGTGGCATTGAAAAGACAGATGCTTACTGTGAAGATGGCTAGATTCCAAGGACGCCTGGAAGAATTTATGTACTCGCGGATTTTGCAGCATAGCCTGCGATGGAGATGAAAATAACTGTCTAAAAGGGAAGACAAAAAGTTAAATTAAAATGGATGGTGCATTCCAAACTGCAGTACTACATTGAAGAATGAAGGAAAAATATTTACAGTATTTACCAACAAATGCATGTTTGTTTTTAGTGAACTATTATTTGTCCCTGTACATTACCATGGCTTGTTCGCTATGAAAATAATGATCTACTCATAATAGACTGATGCAAAACACAACGATCTGGAACACGGACAAAGTCACAGCCCATCAATGTGTGAAACTAACTAAAATCAGACAAAGCATCAAGGAAGATGTAGTCCATAACATCTGGAGTGCCGAAGGCTGCCTAGCCCAGAACCAAATACAGAATTTGGCAACTTCAGTTTAAGCTCAGGAGAGAGAATGTGGAAGATCCTGCTTAAGAGCTTCCATCTCTCAGATGCTGGTAGTGGCATGACAGTCCCCAGGTGACTAGTAAAACAGTTTCATAATTGGTTTGCCTACTTATACTGCAGAGAGAGGGGCTTGGAGTGTCCATTTGATTAACCACATTAATAATGTTTATGGTAAAATTGATTATATGCAACATTCATTACATACAAAATAAAGTCATAACAATCGTATTATTGAAAACAAACAGGTTTCCTTGGTGAGTAAGTTTTCTTACAAATAAACAAGGCTGAATGTTTAACATGAAAAACATGGGTACAGTTTACTTATTTGTCAATATATGCATTTATTAAAATTATTTTACAACCTAAAGCCCCAAATACTTTATTAGATATGAATAAATAGTGTTACTATGAGAAAAGGGAAGGATTGCATTATTGACTAAATAGGGATATTAACATGGGATTTGCAAATGTTAGTATAGGTCCAAATAACCTAACTGGAAAAACTAACTGATATTCTGGTGTAAAATTTGCAATTCCCTATTCATGTCTCCACAAATCCTATTGTGTTGAATAATCCCAAAAATGCATAAAATAATGACTGGCAAGGAAATGGAATAAAAAAAATAAAAAAAACAGCAATGTAGACATTACTCCCTTAAAGGGAAACTTATAGTGCCAGGAAAACAAACTTGCACTACAGCTCCCCCCTCACCTTTTGCTACGTACCTGAGTCCAGCACCAATGTCTCTCAGTCCTGGCTCAGATCTGCCTTCAGTCTGTGGGGGAGACTTAATGCTCATGCGCGGCGCTAGCATTATGATTTCCCCATAAGGAAGCATTATACAATACTTTCCTATGGGGATTTGGGTGATGCTTAGCGCGAGGACATCTAACGTCAGTTAGGCTACTATAAGTTGCCTAACAGCCAGGAAGTCCCTCTAGTGACTGTCTGGTAGATTCTTAAAAATTACATTTGCAGGGTTAAGGGACATGGGACAGTGCACCCAGACCACTTTCAAGGAACAAGAATATATGCTATTAATTTGGCATTGAAGGTTTCTATTGATTTTATTCCAAAACAAAATTACTACTACTACTAAAGCTGAATAAGTTGGAAATAACATGTTGGCATGTGGGGATAGACAATGAGCACTATTGTCAAGTAATTTAAAGATTTTGCTGCAGATTATGTATTTTGGAAAAAAGTAGAATATATTTAGACCTACTTTACTGCACTAGGACACTCTGCCATATGATTCATTGCATTATACGATCAAGTTACAGGGTGTAAATTATATATAAAACAAAAAGGTGTGTTTTATTTATTTACATAAAAAACAACCCATATGGACACCTTTGCAAGTACTAAACAAGCTTACACTCAAGAAAAAGTGAGTTCTCTTTTTTTCTTCCTTACTAAACTGATAATTAACAAAGGAACTGCAACATTTAGGGCGCGCAGCTGGTTAAACAATCGGAGAATGATTACAATGTGGCTACATTAGTCTAAGATATGCAATTCCCTTGTCAATTGTCTACAAGCAAATGCACTCATTGTAATGCTGAAAATTACTGACTATACCAAGCGGTTTATTTTGTATATGGCACAGGGGCTACATAAAGCCAAGTCTTGATTTAACCTTACCTTGAATTTCTACAATATAAAACTATACTTTGCAGACTATTAATGTGATAGTACCATGGAAAGATTCTTGGCATAAGGTTATATTTTCATAATCATGGCAGAGATCTAAATAAATTGATGGACCATTATGTTCCCAAGAAAGTTATCTGAAATCCCTGAACATTTCATTTTCCACAAATTGCTAGGGTCAAAAACAACAAACATGTATTCCTGAAGCTATAGTGCTAAAAACACTATTTAGGTTCTCTGCTGCCCCCACTTTGCTCCCCCCACCCCCCAACTAGCTGTAAAATGTACCTATATTTTTAACGCTGCAGGGCTCCACTGGCTCCACCCTTATCTGTCTCCTTGGCTGACAAACAGAATTGATGATTTAAGCCAATCACAATGCTTTCTCATAGTAAAGTATTGGATTGGCTGAGTTTGTTAATTTTAATGTCAGCCAAGAGAGAAAGGATTACATGTTTGTGTTTTTGACCCTAAAGTGTTCCTTCAAATAAAAAGAGATATCTTTTTTTTTTCTAACTGGAAAAAAAACAAAAACAATGGGAGCAATTTGTGTCTCCATGCAGAGGGGGGAGAAGCTGAACATCAGTGCTGCACACTGTGCAACATTGACCGAAGAAGTACCTCTAGTGGCTGTCTGAGGAGTGGCACTAGGTGTAATGTAAACTGGAAAATGCCTTCGGGGACATACTATAGATACCAGAACAACTACATTAAGCTGTAGTTGTTCTGGTGACTACAGTGTCCCTTTCACAAATGTTTAAATTCACCCACGATCTGAAAGGTTTATGATTCCAGGAAAGGTTCAGAATAGTTACAAAGTGGCTCACCTGATTATAGGTTCCAGGTCAGTGTAACGTCTTTCTTCCCTCTTCTGGGAGCCCAGGTTTAGTGCACGCAAAATGGTTTTATCAAAAGCATCAGTGGACAACTCCTTTGGAAGCTAAGAAAAGAGATTGACATTGTAGGTACATTGCTCCCATAAGAGATCATATACAATTAAAAAGGCTTAATTTGTAATCCTCAAGTGTCTACACTTCCATGTTCTGTTTCCACATGACTACTTTACTGATTTGATGTGGTTATGGTGCTTGGTGTCTATGTGCAGAGACTTTGCAAGGAGCACTTTGCTATCAGAGGTGTAACTGCCACTCTGGCAGCAGATCTCTTGACCTGGACAGACTTATATTAATTCTGGGCATAATTGACATCTGTTGCATGCAAGGCATAATGGTGACAAACCATCAATGGCAGTGTTGCATAACCTCGCCCGAGTCCAACAGGACATCCCTCCCCCTCTACAGTAAAATCATGTCACTGGAGCAGGCATCGGATTGGGTTGCAGGTAAAATTATTTCTTTTAAACAATGGGGAACTTTACATGGCAGCATAACTTTCTCTTCATAAACACTACTTACAGCAGGGGTGGGGAACCTTCGGCCCTCCAGATGTTTTGGACTACATTGCCAGCATTATGGCTGTAAGCATTGTGGGAGATGCTGTCCAAAACATCTGGAGGGCCGAAGGTTCCCCACCCCTGACTTAAAGGAACACTATAGGGTCAGGAACACAAACATGCATTCCTGACCCTATAATGTTAAAACCACCATTTTGGTGGCTTGATCCTCTTTTTTCCCTTAAAAGGGATTAAAACTTGCCTTATTTCCAGCGCTACGCGGGTCCGTTGGTGCTGGCCTATCCCTGATCTGCCTCCATGGTGATTTTAAAATTGCAAGGAGGCGAGGCAGGGGACCGTTTTGGCCAATCATCACCTCCTCATAGAGATGCATTGAATCAATGCATCTCTATGGTGAAAATTCAGCGTCTCCATGCAGAGCGTGAAGATTCTAAATTGCAGTGCTGCCTACTGTGCAGCACTGCACCAGGAAGCACCTGCAGTGACCATCTGAGGAGTGGCCACTTGGAGGTGTCCCTAGTGGGCAATGTAAACACTGCCTTTTCCCTGAAAAGGCAGTGTTTGCATGAAAATGCAAAATGCAAGTAATGATTCTACTCACCAGAACAACTACATTAAGCTGTAGTTGATCTGGTGACTATAGTGTCCCTTTAAGGAACATTACATGACCAAAGCCCCCTTTAAGCTACAAAGCATAAAAATCTGGTAAACAGAGGTACTACCATGCTACCAAATTAAACCAAGTCACATCATCTTTAACATACCATTAAAATGAATTCAACCAACTCGTGGTGTGATTTTGTCACTGAAGTCACAGAATGGTCTGACCAAGTAACCTACAATAAATAAACAAAAAAAAACATGAAACAATATGGTCACTCAGCTAACCTGCAGAATTTTAAATAAAAAGGTACATACATACATATATATATATATATATATATATACACACACACACACACACACACACACACACCCAGTATCTCACAAAAGTGAGCACACCCCTCATATTTTTGTAAATATTTTTTTTTATCTTTTCATGTGAAAACACTGAAGAAATTACACTCTGCTACAATGTAAAGTAGTAAGTGTACAGCCTGTATTACAGTGTACATTTGCTGTCCCCTCAAAATAACAGCCATTAATGTCTAAACCTTTGGCAACAAACGTGAGTACATCCCTAAGGGGAAATGTCCAAATTGGGCCCAATTAGCGATTTTCCCTCCCCAGTGTCATGTGACTCAGTGTTACAAGGTCTCAGGCGTGAATGGGGATCAGGTGTGTTAAAAGTTGGTGTTATCGCTCTCACACTCTTATATTGGTCACTGGAAGTTCAACATGGCACCTCATGGCAAAGAACTCTGAAGATCTGAAAAAAAGAATTGTTGCTCTACATAAAGATGGCCTAGGCTATAAGAAGATTGCCAAGACCCTGAAACTGAGCTGCAGCACAGTGGGCAAGACCATATAGCGGATTCACAGGAAAAGGCCTCGCCGTGGTCAACCAAAGAAGTTGGTGCACGTGCTCAGCGTCATATCCAGAGGTTGTCTTTGGGAAATAGACGTATGAGTGCTGCCAGCATTGTTGCAGAGGTTGAAGGTGTGGGGGGTCAGCTCAGACCATACGCCACACACCATCAAATTGGTCTGCATGGCTGTCGTCCCAGATGATGCACAAGAAAGCCTGCAAACAGTTTGCTGAAGACAAGAAGACTAAGGATATGAACTACTGGAACCATTTCCTGTGGTCCGATGAGACCAAGATAAACTTATTTGGTTCTGACGGTGGCAAGCGTGTGTAGTGGCAACCAGGTGATGAGTACAAAGACAAGTGTGTCTTGCCTACAAGCAAGGTGGTGGGAGTGTCATGGGTGCTACAGTTCATTGAGGGAACCATGAATGCCAACATGTACTGTGACATACTGAAGCAAAGCATGATCCCCTCCCTTCGGAGACAGGGCCGCAGGGCAGTATTCCAACATGATAACGACTGCAAAACACACCTCCAAGACGACCACTGCCTTGCTAAAGAAGCTGAAGGTAAAGGTGATGGACTGGCCAAGCATGTCTCCAGATCTAAACCCTATTGAGCATCTGTGGGGCATCCTCAAATGGAAGGAGGGGGAGTGCAAGGTCTCTAACATCTACCAGCTCTGTGATGTCGTCATGGAGGAGTGGAAGAGGACTCCAGTGGCAACCTGTGAAGCTCTGGTGAACTCCAAGCCCATGAGGGTTAAGGTAATGCAGAAAAATGATGGCCACACAAAATAGACACTTTGGGCCCAATTTGGACATTTCCACTTAGGGGTGTACTCACTTTTGTTACCAACGGCTTAGACATTAATGGCTGTGTGTCGAGTTATTTTGAAGGGACCGCATATTTACATTGTTATACAGGCTGTACACTTACTACTTAACACATTGTAGCAGAGTGTAATTTCTTCAATGTTGTCACATGAAAAGCTATAAAATATTTACAAAAATGTGAGGGGTGTACTCACTTACGTGAGATACTGTGTTTGTAATATATATATATATAAATATAAAATTAGCCATTTGGAGGCTAGTGCGCATGAACAGCAAATCGACACTATCTGATTTTAGTAGCAAGTCAGTCCTTGCACCATAACCACTAGAGCTGATCTGTTTTCAAATAGTGTGACACAAAACAAAAACAATAAAATAAAGTGGATGATCCCATTAGACATATCAGTTTTGTCCCTAATTGTATGATATATAATAGCCGAGTATGTCAGCTGACCCCTTCAGCCAATTAATTGTGTCCCAACATGGGTGGAATTTTAACTTAATTAATGCTGAGGCAGGAACTTTCTCAGTGAGATCTGAAGAGGATGCCAGGATATTTTGAGTCTGTGTCAGTTCAGAAGCAGTTGGGACTGTCCCAAGCACATCCGTTACCATAACAGCTACAGTGAGCTTTATTGGTTAGGTTGCGTTTAAGCCAAGGTTTAACATTTTAAACTACAGCATACCACTGATCAAGTCTTAAAACTAGAAGTTCATTTGAATGTATGAGTGCGTTATGGGTTCTGGAGTGTTTTAAACAAAAGTAAATTTCACTGAAGGTAAAAATTCACTTCACAGAACAGTCTAAACAAGGGCTTAAAGTGCATGTGATGCTATAAGCAGTCTTTTTAGCTTTCACTGATGGAATATTAGACAGAATAGGAGCTATCCAACAGCTTGGCAAAATTAAATTATGGTAACCAGCTACTAGACTCCTGGAACGCTAGGTTTAAGCCAATCCTTTTTTTTTTCCCCTCCATTTGCTTTTTCAAATTCTTAATGCCCTATTGGGTATTATTTTTTACCCCCCAACCTCATAAATGTTAATATTAATGTAAAAATAAGCTAAAGTTTACCTGAAACCAATGCCGGGCGCAGTCTGCGGCTCTGCTAGCACTTCCCCCGTCTAACATCATCGCAGCCATCGCACAGATCAATCAAAGGCTTCTCATAGATAACCCTTTGACTGGACTGTTTTACTGGCTCAGGGTGCATGTGCACGAGGAACCAGCGGGGAGAAAAGTCGAGGGAGGGTTTAAAATAAATAAATCAAATAAATAATGGAGCTTATAGGGAAGAGGGGAGCACTTCAGTAAGAGAAGGTAGTGAGGGAGGGGAGACAAACTGTTATTCCGCCCATTTTTAGCTTTCTGGGCAGGAAAAGTCACATGTGCCAGGAGTGAAACGAGCACCCATCACACAAGTGCTAATATCTCTGAAAAACTACCACCACGACCACTTCTAAAAGCAGAAGTGGTCATGGTGGTTGGAGTAACCCTTCAACTACTTGGTTGGTAGTACTAGTTAGTGGACACTTATGATGAGAAAATGCGGTGAGAGCAGCAAAAGTGAGGCCATCAAGTATGTTCTACCAGCAGATTGTAAGGACACAAACTTTGGTATAATTACAAGGTGTATGTGTACACACAAAAAAAGTATATTATTTTTTGTAACAAAAAAAAAAAAAAAAAGGGTCACTATATATTCCTATATTCATCAGTATACTGTTGATCACTGAAAGGCAACAGAGAGGTCAAGAGATGTCAAGACTCCTAGCACTTCGACACAAAATGCTAAACAAAGATTCATTATTTAGTTTAGCACATTCCAACGGATGGATTTTATGTGCATTAGAAAGAGGCCACAGATTTAAAAATCATACTACTGCTTTACACAACAACTGCTTTCACTGATCAAAGAATTACAGAACTACCACTAAGGCAGAACTGAACGGCTTTACATTGGCCACGCTGTATATAGACCATATTTTTATTCGGCAGACCAACAAATGTGTCACTTTAACCCTTAACAACTAGGCATCTTTGCAGAGGTTATGATGCAGTCCTGCACCCAATCTCTGTCTCTAGTATATATACACACACACTAATGATATTAAATGATAGCACTCCAAGGAAATATATTGTGGAAAAAAACTTGGCTTTTATTCAGGCATCTGCCAGTAGTAGATCAACGTTTCAGTTCTCTAATGGAACTGTCAGGATAGCTGAGATATATATCTCCAGCTATAAGTCAGCCCTTTGGTTTTCTAATGCTAAACAATAGATTTTACTTCTCTGCAATCATACATCCCTCCACTTGTTTCTTGTTCTGAAGATTGCTCTACCTGCCAGATCAAAAAACCGAACCAAGCTGTCAATATGTTGATGGCAGTTGAAGTGTGGGTGTCAACAGCTAATTAGAGATCTGTGGGACTGGGAGCATGGGCTGAACTAGATGTCCAATAAAATCCATGGATTTACAGGATTAGACCACACATACCAAATTTGGAGACACCTGATTGTTGGACCTGCAATTTGAGGACCTTTAAAAACAGTTTGCCCAATTTTAATGTTATTTAGAATGCATTAAAATGGAGGATCACTGCTTGCAAATTGTGCACCTTTTAATAAATGTGGTATATAGATGTCAGAATTGTTTCATTTTGGAATTTAGCATTTTCTCTCCCTATTGAAAGAGGACCAGAAAAAAATCTAATGGTTTTTGGCTGAAAAAGTAATTTGCAAAGAAGATGAATAACCTTGGCCATTCAGAAGTATCTTATTTGAAATTTTTAAAAAGAAAATTGGTATTTAAAAAAATAAATAAAAAAAGTCCAAAAGAAAAACAACCAGATCTTAGAAAAACAACTCCTATGATGCTGAGCATTTATTAACGCTGATATAGTATTAGGGAGCTGTATTATTTTTGGGAATCGATCTTTTGGTCACACTAAATAATGTTTAAGTAGAGAGCAGAGCTTATGGAGCAAAATCACAACTCTAAACGTTTCTATTAGTTTGAGAGACCAAATTTGCAATTAGGCAAACATAGTTCACTGCTGACAAACAATGTGTAGGACCGAAGCATGTGAAGGGTTCGAATAGAATCCATACGGTCAGTGTCATTCTCTATACTAAGTACAATGACTGGACTTCCAGTTTCAGAAACAGCATCAGAATACCAGAAAACAGTCTGACTCAGTAGTTAAGCAATGTGCTTTGTAAAGGTCGCTGATGCTGCAATAATCACTGGCTTCTTTAGTAACACAGGCAGTATTCACACTTCCACTGAATTAGAACAAAAAGGTGAATCAAGTTGCAACAAAGTAAAATTCTTACAGAGAAGGTCTTTCAGAATTAGGGTTTTGACCTACAATGTTAATTTTCAACTTAATTTTAGAAACTATCAAACAGAATATTTAACAGCTTAAAATGGGCACAACAAATATCACGATCCATACAGTTAAAGGGTTACTCCAACTCCTTTTAAGGCACACCTTAATATTTTAAAAAATAAAGCAGACTTTTTAGTATCTCTATATAGTGTGTTTACTTGGTATCCCCATTCATCCTGTTTAAATATACTGCACCATTTTTGTCTATGATCTCTTTTTTAAGATGTATCCTTCTGCTTGTAAAAAAAATAAAAAATAAAAAAATAAATAAAAAAAATTATATATATATATATACATACACACACATACATACATATATATACATACACACACATACATACATACATACACACACACCTAACTATTTTACAGATGTATTTTCTTTTGTGGGGCATGGTTCACCATTGTTTGTTTTTGCTCATATTGGGTGCCACTGATGGGCTGATAGCATACATATCTTTCCCCTCAGTCTACTGAATTGGGAGCTAGTAAAAGTCTGAGAGCGACAGTGGACGCTCACAGTAACGTCAGGTCTGAGGCTTCCGGACTGATTTCCAGTCAAGGTTTAACCCCTTAAGATAAGAGGTTGTCAAAGATCTCCTCACATGATGATAACCTCATTGCAGTGAAGTTATGGTGCCTTGTGTGGTCCTTTAATACGCTTCACCTACTACACTCAAACACTGGCAACAACAACAAACCAATACTGGCTTACCATAAATGTGTACTCTGCATTCTTGTCAGACCTTTTTCTTTGTACTCCTTTAAAAGTTATTTTCTCAATGTGAACAGCTGCAAAATTAAAGTGCAATATTAAAAACAAACAAAACAAAAAAAAAGTACCATGGTGACACAGAAAACAGACTGGTGTTTAACCCCTTAAGGACACATGACATGTGTGACATGTCATGATTCCGTTTTATTCCAGAACTTTAGTCCTTAAGGGTTTAAGAAATATTTTTTCCATCCTTACGGGAGATCAATAGATCTCTATAACTGGCCAATTTTGGTCTCCAACAGAAGTGGCTGTAGGATGGCTCCTTGACTTGTAGCCAGAATGATTTGATTAGTATTTATTTGTGTTCTTCCAACATGGGATCAGGATGTGTATGTGAGAGCAGGTGGATCTCAGACGCTTGTGTCATCCCATATGCACATTACACAGCCTAAAAGTCACAAGGACTTGCATCTCCTGATCACCTTTTCTCAGCACTGACAAATTTAAGCAGCAGGGTGATAAAGAAGAATTAAAAATCATGTTTACATCAGCTTACATATGAATGTGTGCATATTTGTTTATAAGAGTGAATATGGATCGGATAGTTTATTGTGTTTTTTTGTGCATATGTAGGCAGGAGTAGCTATTGTGTGTTCCTATGTGTTAATTGTAAATATATGTGTTGCTTTAGGTTTTACAATTTTGCATTGTTCCTATATTTTGGCCCTGGCTCTGAAATTCAATGGGTCACGGACTACAAATAAGATATTTTCAACAGAGCACATTTTGATTCCTAAAGGGAGACTAAATAAAACAACTATCTCTGCAGAGTAATTGTTTACCTCTAAGTGTTATAAAAGTTTAGTGATATCCAGAATTTTGGCAATGACAAAATCAATAAAAGATAGAATGCATAAACATAAATAGTGCCTTTAAAATTAGATTGCAACTTTTTGTAAATACCTTCCCGCTGGAGCTTATGAGATGTCACTGTAATTCCATTGTGAGTGGTTTTCTTGTTTTCAACCACATGGTTTTCAGGGCTTGGCATATACTCATGGATTCTCTCCTGGAAAGATATAAATATAAAATAAATGAATAAAAATGTTAGAGGCTAAAAAAAAAAAAAAAATACACACTATATATATATATATATTGCAACGATGTAGTATTTTCCCCACAAAATGTAAAGCCTCTTCGGAAAAAAATGTCCATGATCCTCTAAAACAAATTTATGTGCTTTGCAAAATGGAAGCAAACTTGTATTTTTTTTTTCCTTCAAAATATCTTAACATTTTCAGTTTATAAATGCAGCTTTTATGAAGTCAAAACTATTTGACTTAACCCCTTAAGGACTGAGCCAAATGTACACGTTGTGATCAAAACAAAACCTTGAATTTGTGCTAAATGTCTGTTCAGGCGTAATTCGCCTCTTTCATATTATGTGCACCCACACTTCTTATATATCATTTTATTCAGGGGAAACAGTTTAATACCTAAGTATCTAATAAAAGCCCTATTTAATATGAATAAAATATATAAAAAATGGGAGAAAATAAGAATTACAATTTTTTTTTTAGTTCTACGTGACATTTTAACTGTGAATGTCATAATACGGTTTGCTTTTACTGCAATAAAATACACATTTGTATTCAGCGATGTCTCACGTGTACAACAGTACCCCTTATTTACAAGTTTTATGATGTTTTGGGAAGATACAGGGTCAAATATTGCATGTTAAATTTTTCATTTTTTTCACATTGAAATTCTACAGATTGGTTACGTTGCATTTGACAACGTAAGGTAGCCCAGGAATAAGAATTACCCCCATAATGGCATACCATTTGCAAAAGTAGACAACCCAAGGTATTGCAAATGGGGTATTGTCCAGTCTTTTTTAGAAGCCAATTGGTCACAAGCACTGGCCAAAGTTAGTGTTCACATTTGTTTTTGTGTGAAAAAAACAAAAAACATATTTGCCCAGTGTTTGTGACTAAGTGGCTACTAAACAAGACTGGACAAACCCCATTTGCAATACCTTGGGTTGTCTACTATTGCAAATGGTATGCCATCATGGGGGTAATTTTCATTCCAAGGCTACCGTACGGTCTCATAGCCTTATATTTTACTCTAACTTTTGAAACCACCATAAAACCTGTACATGAAGGGTACTGTTATACTCTGGAGACTTCGCTGAACACAAATATTAGTGTTTCAAAACATTAAAACTTATCCCAACAATATCGTCCGTGTAAGTGCCATTTGTGTGTGAAAAATGCAAAAAAAGTCACTTTCACTTACGATATCGTCGGTGGGATCGCCGTCGACCTGGTAAGTACATAGGACGGCTTGGGCATTCTATGCCGCCCACCGGCGTTTAGAGCTGGGTCCCCAAGGACGGCATATAACGCCCACCGTCCTTAAGGGGTTAAAGGAGCACTATAGTGTCAGGAAAACAAACTCGTTTTCCTGGCACTATGTAGTCCTTAGGTCCCATCCCACCCCACCCTTCAGCCACTTTTCTCTAGCACCAGTCTCCCTCTACGCTGGTGACCTCTCCTCCTCCTGCCGACGCATGCACAGCAAGAGCAAGGTGCGCATTCAAACCACCCATAGAAAAGAATTACTCAATGCTTTCCTATGGACGTCAGCGTCTTCTCTAAGTAATTGTCACAATGAGAATCACAGAGGTGGCCTCTAGTGGCTGTTAGTGAGACAACCATTAGATGCTGGATTAACCCTCAGTGAAAGATATCAGTTTCTCTAAAACTGCTATGTTTTCAGCTGCAGGGTTAAAACTAGAGGGACCTGGCACCCAAACCACTTCATTGAGCTGAAGTGGTCTGGGTGCCTATAGTGGTCCTTTAACAGAAAGCAGCTTGTTTATATAAAAATATCAGCAGAATACCTGCCATATTAAAAAAAAATCCCCAAATCCCTGGAATTTTTTCTTTAAAAAAAAAAAAAGATTTGCACATAAAATTTTAACACAATAGTTGTAAACCATGTAAATGGGAAGCAGAAATATATACAAGGCACAGTTCAGTGTGCTAGTCCACACACCCACACAGAAATGTAATCGAATCCATTCAGCAATCAGTAGAAAAACAAACTACTTGGCTTGGTACTTAGGATGTCAGTAAAATAGGCCTTCTAACATTACAAGCAGTTTACAGCAGCAGATGATCAGACAAAAATCTATTAACAGCATCCCATTAAAAAAATTCCCTGCTTACATATAAAGTACACCTAACATAATAGCCACGCATTAGTAAACTGCAAAATTTTATTGAAAAAAATATATAAAAACCAAGAAATGTTACTATGGCAAAATTACATATTTAATATAATAATAGAGGATAAAGATTTAGCCCCTCACTTTTTTTTTTAAAATCTTCCTTAGATATAATACAATTCAATACACAGACACTTAATACTCACCGTACATAGATACAGAAATGTGTCCAATTCTAATTCCCCAATTGAAAACATTTTAGGCCAACACACAAAAAGATAAAGGGCTATCCGTTCTGCGCCACACATCAGCTGCAGCGTACTCGCCCTTTGGAGGCTGTATGCCAAGCGTTTATTAGCAGAACATTTCTGACTGTACATAGCAAGGGTCTCAAAGTAATGTCTGAGGATTTTTTTGCCCTACTAAATACTTTAACCCCTTAGTGACCAGACAGTTTTTCAATTTTCTTACGGTTTGGGACCAGGGCTGTTAACATTTCTGTGTTTGCGTTTATATGTAATTTTCCTCTTACTCATTTACTGTACCCACACATATTATATACAGTTTTTTTCGCCATTAAATGGTTTTTCTAAAGATACCATTATTGTATACCATTAAATACAGTCTGGAATCAGTTTTCTATTTGAGATTAACAAGTATTATACAAGTAAAATGGTTTAGAATGTACTGTAGTTATTTTTACTTACTCAAAGTATAGCCTACCTCCCTCAGAAGATATAGCACGACAACATCAGCTTTTACCAACTAGGAATTTACCAACAAGTAATGGAGGGCAGAGGGAGGCGGGCGGACGGATGACTTAATGCCGCAGTGAGGGAGCTGTAATCTCCCTGCTCTGCTCCATCACGCGGCTTGTAGTGATGCTGGGAGCTGGGTTATGGTATCACTCCGGCCCATGCCTCACTAAACAGTGCGTGAGACGGAGCTGAATAGGGAGATGACAGCAGCCCCACTGGACCCCAGGCAAAGCCTATCCACTCCAGGTCTCTAGAAGTAAGGAGCCTGGGTGGATTTAAATAAGTAATTACTTGTGAGCGAGCGTGCGCGCCTGCGAGTGTGCGTGCATGCGAGAGAGAGTGTGCGTGCATGCGAGAGAGAGTGTGCGTGCGTGCATGCGAGAGAGAGTGTGCGTGCATGCGAGAGAGAGAGAGAGTGAGCGTGCATGCGAGAGAGAGAGAGAGAGTGTGCGTGTGCGAGAGAGAGTGTGCGCGCATGTCTATGTATGTGAGAGAGTGTGTGTGTATGTCTATGTATGTGAGAGAGTGTGTGTGTGTATGTCTATGTATGTGAGAGAGAGTGTGTGTGTATGTCTATGTATGTGAGAGTGTGTGTGTGTATGTCTATGTATGTGAGAGAGTGTGTGTGTATGTCTATGTATGTGAGAGTGTGTGTGTGTATGTCTATGTATGTGAGAGAGTGTGTGTATGTCTATGTATGTGAGAGAGTGTGTGTGTATGTCTATGTATGTGAGAGAGTGTGTGTATGTCTATGTATGTGAGAGAGAGTGTGTGTGTATGTCTATGTATGTGAGAGTGTGTGTGTGTATGTCTATGTATGTGAGAGAGTGTGTGTGTATGTCTATGTATGTGAGAGTGTGTGTGTGTATGTCTATGTATGTGAGAGAGTGTGTGTATGTCTATGTATGTGAGAGAGTGTGTGTGTATGTCTATGTATGTGAGAGAGTGTGTGTATGTCTATGTATGTGAGACTGTGTGTGTATGTCTATGTATGTGAGAGAGAGTGTGTGTGTATGTCTATGTATGTGAGAGAGAGTGTGTGTGTATGTCTATGTATGTGAGAGAGAGTGTGTGTGTATGTCTATGTATGTGAGAGAGAGTGTGTGCGTATGTCTATGTATGTGAGAGAGTGTGTGCGTATGTCTATGTATGTGAGAGAGTGTGTGTGTGTGTATGTCTATGTATGTGAGAGAGTGTGTGTGTGTGTATGTCTATGTATGTGAGAGAGTGTGTGTATGTCTATGTATGTGAGAGTGTGTGTGTATGTCTATGTATGTGAGAGTGTGTGTATGTCTATGTGTGTGAGAGGAAAGCATTGGAAGTCTATTGCGCACGCACGGCAAAATGCCACTGTGCCAATTTAACTTCTCAGAGGTGAAGAGAGAGAGAGAGAGAGAGAGAGAGAAAAAAATCCTAAAACATAGTTATAATGAAATTAGATATATATAATTTTGCCATAGATGTATTAAATGCTTTAATTTTTGTTTTATTCCAACCCCCCCCTCCCATTATTCCCCCCTGCAGGCAGTGCAGCTCAGTGCCGATCCACACATGTGATCAAGATGTCAGTGCGATCACATGACCCGGAGAGGCTGGGTTGGTTTCCAGAGTTGTCCCCCTCATCAGGATTGCCACAGAAGGGAAGTATAAATTGCTGTGAGGGCTGCCGATAGTTAGCATCTACTATGCCACCCTAACTGTATTAAAGCCCGCTTTTTTCAGGGCAGCATAAAATGGCTTAATAAGTTAAAGGAACGTTGGAATCAATGGCCCTATTTTACCTAAAAAGTTGACCATACACCATGATTTTATTGATTTGAAGTAGTCATGGTGCCTTGAGTCAGTAAGTGCATTTCACTTTGAAACACTATACATACGGAAATTAACCCATCTGCTGCTGGAGGGATAACTCTACTCCCAGCAGCATCATAGCGGTGTCATTAGACAATCTGGAAATAGAGTTCCGGTGGCAATCGTTATTTCTGTACAAAATCCGCAAAACTCCCCTTTACCAACTCTGTGCTAACCCTTGTCCTATTCATAGCATGTCCACCCTGACAACTCCACCTTCCATGTGGAGGAGCGAAGTTAGTAGGGTAAAAATAGGGCAGAGAGCAAGTTATTTTATTAAAAAACTGTTTTATGAAACAGTTGGAGTAGCCTTTTTACGTGTTACATGGTGCTTAAATTGTGATCAATCTCCACACGTTGATTAATATGTCTGCAACGCAGTAGAGAGCTGAGTGACAGGGAAGAGCAAGAGAACCTTCCCTGCAGGTAGCTCTATGCCATCTGTCACGGCTACCCTCGAGCAAGTGTTTCTCACATTTGCTCAAGGATGATAGGATATTGTGACACTGTTGCACTCGCCGTAAAGCCTGCAGATTGGCATCAGTGGAGATTGACCTGCTTAGTCAAGTGACCCCTAGCAGAATTGTAGATAAGGGCAGTATTAACGAATGCAAAAACAGCTCACAAAGCCAATTAATATATATTTTATTTTTATGGTAAATTATTTATTTACTGCTATAGGAACTGTTATAGCTAATGTTGAACCTGGAGTGACAGGTTCACTTCAACATCGCAAATTAATGTTTTTTGTTGACTAGAAAAAGGTTTTGTTCTGCTAAAAAGTTATTTCAGTTTCAACAAAAGCAAAAGATATAGTCAGCTCAGGCCAATTCATCGGGAACAAACTGATGTTTTCCCAGTGATGTAGAGTTAGTGGAAGAAATACGACTGTTAGAAACTGCAACCATTTGAAAAGGAAGCTATTAGAAACATAGATAATGATATTGTTGGTGCACCTCAAAAGAGATTTTCAACTGCAGGCACCTCTACAAAAAAAAAAAAAAAAAAGTTAACTGCTAGCCTCTTAGGAGATTACACATACAACTTTTACACAGAGCACTGGTAAATAAGCACTTAACCATGACTTATAATACACTCCTATAAGTCAAAAACAAAACAAAAAAAAGAAAAAAAACTATGGAATTTTCATACCATCTCTAAAAGAGATGTTGAACAGGAAAAGTTATTTGTAATTCTAGAATATGACAAAGTTAAAGTGAAGTGGTCCGGTCATTTTAACCCTGCAATGTAAAATAAAACTATAGAAACTGCAATGTCTACATTGAGGGCTAAACACACACATATTTTAAAATTTTGTTTTATGACATATGAAAGCTCTGTTACTTACAGATATTAATTTACATGATTAAAACATCAAGAACAGTTGCTACTGGCATTTGAAATGCTTACAGAACCATGAGCATGAGGGCTTGCATGGAGCAACATTATTTTCTAGAGACCGACATATTCTTACACAATGTGTCAATTTCATAAGCAAGGAACATTAAATATGCACAGTAACGGAATTAACTTATTATGGTTTGAAAGAGTCCCTGGGCCCCAGCTTATCTTAAGAGGCTAAACATCACAGTTTTGAGTCTGGCTTGAAGAAGCTTTGCCAACCTACTTCCACTTCAGTCCGAAGCTTAAATCAGGAAACAGCGGACTGTGAGCTTCACCTGTGAATGTGCTTTTGAAGTACATGTAATCAGCTATACTGGGGTACAGCTTACTTATTGAGCAGAAGTACACTAGGCAATAAGCATGGGTTCATAAATCAAGTTTTATGCAAATAAATACAATATATGGACAAAAGTATGTGGCAACTGACCATAACACCCAAGCTTGTTGGAGATACCAAAGCCATTAGCATTACTATGGAGTGGTCTTCCATTGTACCAACAACAATGGCAACTCTGACTAGGCTTTCCACAAGATTTTGGATTTCGTCTGAGGGAATTTGTAAGACCTTGATCGTCAGAGTTCCAACTCATCCCAAGGGTGTTCAGTGGGGTTAGGGTCAGGCTCTCTAAGGCCAGTGAAGTTAATCAACACCAAACTATCACCCCAAGGATGCATAATTCATTGTTGCAAAATATAATATTGCCATTTAATGTGATTTGTGTAGTGCATATATGAATTGGCCACTTGGTTGCAAGGTCAGATGACAGAAGGGATAATGCAAATTGCATAGTAATGTGAAAGGGGTCAGATGGTTGGTTTACCATATAGATTGATCCTTTGATTAATCAAAGGCTCTGCAAGGTGTGAGAAGTCACACATAAGTGGCCTGGAAGTCTGGTTTAAATATAAACTAACTCTCTAATTTGCCGTATGTCTAGATTCCATCTTAGATAGGGGGTCCTTTGATATGTTAATGACCATTAGCCTTATGTTCCAGTATCATATCCAAAAGACACATTAATACTTACCCACAGATTAATAATTAAACCTCATTTTTATTATATTTAGAATGGGACAAGCACAATCTTCTAATCAAGCCCAAATGATGTACATAACTGTGGTGTCAGCTATATTGGGTCACAAGTAAGGAGTGTGACATCTATATAGATTCTGAAAATGGTAAATTCATAGATACAATTATTTCTGTGGCAAATACATAAGAGGAGATAGAACCAAATGTTTCCATTTTTTATTGATGTTGGTCACTTATAGTTACGCCTTATCGCTACCTCTTGACGATGCTTGGTAATCAATAGGGTATATATCTAATGATACTTAAGTGTGGATTGGACTTGCTCGGGGGCCAGAATCTAATTCTGAGTAAGTCACCACCTTTCTTAACAGAGACCCCGTGGGCAGAAGTTTGACTTTGAAAACCTGAGTAAGTCATTAGGACTTCTGTTATTCTATCCCTTTTGTTTTTATCTGTTGTTGGTGTAACTAATTTAATTGCCATCTATATTTTTGTATGCACTGTAACTATTTTTTGCTCATAATAAAGGAATTCCTTTAAGTCCTGCCTTTATCTGGTAAAGAATCCTGTTACCTGAAGAGACTAATTAATAAGTGTTTTGCAATTGCATAGGTATTGTGCCAAGTAGTATTTTGTAGGTTATTGTTCAGTTTACCTGGGGGACCAAGGCACCCCATTTATGAATCGTCAAAATAGTAATATTTATATTATGGTTAGCTGTAGGTGGTGTTAAGGGAGATTTTATAATTTTTTTTCTGGTCTAGTGCAGACAAATAGTGAACTTTAACCATTTCGCCACCACAACTACATCACGCACACTCTTGCAGTAGGATGCGTTTATGACAAATCGTTAAGCCACGTCTTCATGGACCTCACTGAGTACATGGATGCAGCCATGCTGGTAAAGAGAAAAGGCATTTGCCCGACTATTAAAACAAAATTGGAAGCACTTAGCTGTCTAAAATGTCTTTGTATCCTGTAGATGACCTTTCACTGGAAATAAGAGACCTAACTCAAACCCTAAAATACAGCTCCAGACCACTACACTCCCCAACCCCCCCCACCCACCCCTTTCACCTGTCTACTAAAGTTTATAGTTTGCACTATGCAATCCAGTAGGAAGCATTCTCTTGGCATCCTCCACACCTAGTTTTTTCTTTTGGCCTGCCAGATGGTCCAGGGGCAGAATACTTTTCTCCTCTCCAGAAAACACTTGTGTACAACTGCTCAGTCATGGAAACCCATTTGTTTCACAAAGCTCCCAACTCAGAGTTCATGTGCTAATCTTAATTCCAGAGACAGTTGAGCAAACCCGGACTGTAAAGTTCGGGTTCGTACCGAACATTACGCTTTATGTTCAGATTGGAGTTCGGTGTTCTGCGATTTATTGGCGCATTTTGAAAGGCTGCAGGGCAGCCAATCAACAAGCGTTTGACTCGTGTGCCCTTCGAAGCCATCACAGCCATGCCTACTAATGGCATGGCTGTGATTGGCCAGTGCAGCATGTGACCCAGGCTCTATATATAAGCTGGAGTCGCATAGTGCCGCACGCACATGAGCTCTTATTAGTGATGGGAGAGGATGCTGCAGCTTTCAGGGACAGATTAGGAAAGAATTCTGCAAACTAGTACATTAGTGGGTTGCACTTCATATGTGAGAGTCAAATAGAAGCATCAAATACGGCTGTCACATTTCAGTTTTAAAACATTTTTTTAAGAACTAAAAAGTACATTAGTGGGGTGCACTTCATATCTGAGAGTCAAATAGAAGCGTCAAATACTGCGGTTACAGCGCAATTGTAAACATTCTTATTTTCTGGGTGCTAATCTGCTAAATAGTAAATTTGGGCCCTGCACTTCATATCTGAGAGTCAAATAGAACTGTCAAATAGTGTTGTGACATAGCATTTTTAAACATTCAAATTTTTGGGCTGCTAAATAGTACATTTGCGGCCTGCAGTGCACTTCATATCTGAGAGTCAAATAGAACCGTCAAATATTGTGCTTACATTGCAGTTGTAAAAATTCTAATTCTTTAGGTGCTTAAAAGTCAATTTGATGCCTGCACTTCATATCTGAGAGTCAAATAGAAGCATCAAATACTGTGTTTACAGTGCACTTTGACAAATTCCCATTTTTTTGCTCCTAAGTACCGGTAGTATATTTGGGGCGTGCTCTTCATATCGGAGAGTCAAATAGAACTGTCAAATAGTGCTGTGACAGTTTTAAAGATTCTATTTTTTTGGTTGCTAAATAGTACATTTGCGGCCTGAGGTGCACTTCATATCTGAGAGTCAAATAGAACCGTCAAATATTGTGCTTACATTGCAGTTGTAAAAATTCTAATTCTTTAGGTGCTAAAAAGTAAATTTGATGCCTACACTTCATATCTGAGAGTCAAATAGAACAGTCAAATACTGTGCTTTCAGTGCACTTTGAAAAATTCTAATTGTTTTGGGTGATAAAAAGTAAATTTGGGGTGTGCACTTCATATCTGACAGTCAAATAGAACCGTCAAATACAGTGGTTACAGCGCAGTTTGACCAATTCAATTTTTTTGGGGTGCTAAATAGTACATTTGTGGCCTGCACTTCATATCTGACAGTCAAATAGAACTGTCAAATACCAATATAACAATATTGTAATTCGGGGGCAATACCCTCACAAGTCAAACAGAGGTCAGTTTATAAAAACGGTTGCCTGGATACAATTCTAAAACAATTTCCATATTTCCTTTGCAGACTTTACATGCTGCAAGGAGGGCAGAGTTGAGGAGTGGGTGGAAGATGATGTGGAGGATGATGCATGACCTTGATTCCATGTGGAATCAAGGTCATGCAAGTGACGTGTGCAGTTTGGAGGAAGAGGTGCTGGTCGCACAGAGGCACCAGCACAGCATAAGAGGGAGCAGTGTGCAAAAGCGTCCCCTAGCGCTCGTCGGCATGTATTATCTTTAGAATTCCCACAGTTATCCAAGTAATAGATAGAGCGATAAAAGGAACCATAACAGATTTAACGAGCCATTCGCAGTCTCGCAGCCCGGTGACAGGGCGGCGGTCGGACGACCAGGACCCAGTATGCCTGATGTTGAAGTTAAGAGTCACAGTGTGGAATGGATTAGCAGGGTCTAGTGCAGGGTAACCGCATGCCCCCTGGTGTTGACCACCACCGTTTGTGCAGCCACATACCAGGAGCCTGATGCAGCTTCAGTAAAAAGAGTACTGGATACCAGAAGCCATCACCAGACTGATCCGCAACTTGGAACAGGATGTGACATTCACTGTAGTGGCTGTGCGCGCTTTCAGCGTTCTAACCCTGCTGCTGCTCGCCTATCTGCACTGCAGCGTAACTTTGGCCTTTCCGCTCACCGCCTCATATGCGATGTGCCCACAAGGTGAACTCCACCTTGCACATGCTGGAGAGAGTGTGCGAGCAGCAGGCGATAGTGGAGTTTCAGCTGCAGTACGCATGGGTCAGTCGCTCTGCACCAGACTTGCCCTCCAATTGATCAGAGTTAAAGGATTTCAAGTGGACTCATTACAATTAAAGGGCCTCTTATTTGTCGTCACTACCTTCCCACGTCGGAAGCGGGTCATTTGCGCGCCTGTTGCCTTCCTTGCATGTGGTAGCCGTTTCTCAGGCTCCCTCTCCGGAATCGAACCCTGGTTCCCCGTTACCCGTGGTCACCATGGTAGGCGCAGTAAGTGGCATCGAAAGTTGATCTGGATCACATACGAATGTGTTGTTGCCTTGTCGTTGGGAAGCCCATTGAAAAAGTGCTCTAGCATGACGAGCTGGGTGATCTCCTCGGGGAACTTGGCTTGATGGGAGTTGAGACAGTTCTGGTGGCCCTTGTGATTCGGCATGCCCACTCTGTATGGGAGTCCTTCTCCCCTTTCCAGGTCTCCCTAAACTTTCGGCGGTATTGCTCGGGGGTGACCGCATACCGGGCCAGGATTTGGGTAATAAAGGGTCTCTGATCTGCTCTTCTGGTACAGCCCGGTAAATATCCGCTGCCTTCTCCACTAGTTTGCTGGCCAGGATGGTGACCCAGTCGCTGGGGTCTACGTCTTGGAGTAGGCACTGACGCTCAAAGTCTTGTAAAAAGTAATCGATGCCGCCTTCTGCTTTATTGAACACTTTGAAGGCATTGTATGGTAGCTTGGTTGTGCTTCCCGGCACCCTCTGCTCCCTTCTTCCTTCATCTGGGTTCATGGAGGCCGCCCTCTGTCTACTGGCAAGGACATAGGCTTGCACCTCCAAAGAGGTCCTGCTGACAATCTCCTCTGATGGCGGCTCTCAGTAATATGCCAGGCGCCATTCCACCTCCTTGCGCACTTCCTCCTCATCTCCGGCCCCTCACTGGGGTTTGTTGCCTCACTGCGTGCCTGGTAGTTCTCCATGAGCGCAGCAGTCAATTCTGCCTTGTTACGCCCACCAGGCGTTATTCCTCTGGCTCCACACAAGTCCTGCAGTGTAGGTCGCTTTAGAGCACTGTAGTCCATGGGTCTGTTGGCAGGGACATGGGATCCCGCCGCTTGCCACCAACTGAAGCGGGACCTGGGTAACCGATGGTTATCCCCTTTGATTAAAATAGGTCAGACCCATTTCCCCAGTAACCAGATTGGACACAGTTCCAGGATACAACGTTTGACAATCTTTATTTGGGTACAGAGCTTTGCCTCCTGTTGCCTCCGCCTCCTCCTCCTCATCTGGTCAGCGTAACACCTTCACCACCAACTTCAGCACAGCCAAATGGAAACGACAGCAGGCTGTTTTCAAACTCATATGTTTGGGGGGGAAACCCCACACCGCGCAGGAGCTGTGGACGGGCATGGAACAACAGACCGATGAGTGGTTGTTGACACTGAGCCTCAAGCCCGGCCTGATGGTGTGCAATAATGGGCGAGATCTCGTAGCAGCTCTGGGCCTAGCCGGTTTGACACACATCCCTTGCCTGGCGCATGTGCTGAATTTGGTGGTGCAAAAATTCCTGAAAACCTACCCAGATATATCAAAGCTACTGCAGAAAGTGCAGGCCGTCTGTGCGCGCTTTTGGAGTTCACACCCTGCTGCTGCTTGCCTGTCTGCGCTGCAGCATAACTTCGGCCTTCCCGCTCACTGCCTCATGAGACTGTGCGAGCAGCAGCAGACGATAGTGGAGTTTCAGCTGCAGCACGGGTCAGTTGCTCTGCAGAACAGTTTTTTTTTCATATGTCCCAATATTTTGAGGGCTACCCCAATTAAAAAAACAAAAACAAATAAAAAACAGTGTTTGCTACCTCCTCCTCTTCCACCTACACGGTCACCGCCTCCTCAAACTATGGGTCACATAGTATAAACTATATACACAATAGCAGAGGCTTGTGAAAGCCTTTTCTCCACGCATCAAGAGTTGAGCATTTCTCCATGCATCAGGACTGCAAGAAATGCACCACAGGCCGCAAATGTTTCTTTTTTTTCCTATGTCCCAATATTTTGGGGGCTACCCCCAATTAAAAAAAAAAAAAAAAATAAAGTGTTGGCTACCACCTCCTCCGCCGCTTCCACCTAAACCACCACGGTCACCGCCTCCTCATCCTATGGGTCACTTAGTATAAACTATGTACACAATAGCAGAGGCTTGTGAATGCCCTTTTCTCCATGAATCAGGAGTAGAGCTCAGTATGAACAATGAAAGAGAATACCCTGCACTCCAACCCTCTCCGGTGATCCTCCTGACAGCCATGCTTTAGATTTTGATTTATGTTCTTCCAATGCTAAAATCAAAGATTCCATCTAGTGCTATTTTATGGCTCAGCTGTATTTTTTATTTTTATGTTAGGGATAGGGACTTCCCTATCCACGTTTGCAGGGCACTTGTCCTATTCTTACCCCCATTTTACTTCCTTTTGCAGCCCTCTAGCCCTTTCCAGGACTTTTTTTAGAGGAATTTTAGTGCCCAAAAGTTCGGGTCCCCATTGACTTCAATGGGGTTCGGGGTCAAGTTCGATCCAGAACCCGGACTTTTTTCCCCCAAAGTTTGGCCAAACCCGCCAGACCCGAACATCCAGGTGTCCGCTCAACTCTAGTTGCAACAGTTGAAAAGTTATTTTATTCCTGCTACAAACAACACTAAAAGCACATGTGCTCTGTGAGTATTTGTGGTCTGCCACTTAGAGGCTGAACTGTTGCATATAGAAGTTTCACTTAACAGCACAGTTTAGTGTAGCAGGTTCAGGGAAGAAATTTCACAAATTGACTTGTGGCGTGAGACCCTATTACATGGCCATATCGCTTTTTAGAGACCGATACCAAAAATGGTGGCCGGTAGCTATATTCTGCCAGCGGTGGACTAATGCAGGGGGTAGGGTTTGGGGGAGGGGCACTTGCATTGAATTGGTGGTGACTGGGACCCTGCACATGCGATCTTCTGTTTCCAGCAGTTCCTCTCTCAAACTCTTGTGAGCCCTGTGTGCCGCATGGAGTGTTGCCATGGTAACCCACTGCAATCTTTGGCGGTCGGGGAACTGAAGAAAGCGTGTGCTGCACCTCCGTCCGCCATATCGGTATCATTATGAGCCGATATGGATATAGACTTAATGTACAATATCAGTCCTAGAGTCTACATAGGTTTGGCAACACAAGATATACTTAAGCCAGTAGCAGCAACAGATAAGCGCTCAAGCTGTGAATATGGAACGGTTATGAATTTCATTGATCACAGATATCATGTAATGAGAATGTTAAAGCGCTACACAAAGCACATCATCTTCCTTTGCAACCAAAGAAAGATAAAGTAATATTGGACACTTACATGCATGCAGGGATCCCCAATTTAATGAGGTCACTAACTGCAATGGGGAATATGCCCGATGTGGGTAACCAAGGTAATGAAATTCTGAGGTTAAAATCTACACAACATAACTAAAAGAAATATAACTTCTGCAATTAGTTTAAAAAAATTTAAGTTTGTTTGAGCAGGTCCCTTAGCCCTTCTAGTGCGTCCAACTAGTCTTTTCGTAAATACTTGTCTGTTAGTATCAAATTTGTTGATGCTTTATAAGAATAAATTTTTTTTTTTTTATTATATATTATATATATATATATATATATATATATATGCTACAACTGTCCAAAGAATGGATAAAAGCTCTGATCTGAGACTATGTGAATCAAGTAATACGGGAGGGGGATTGCAGGAAAGTATGCAGGCCCAATAGTAACAGAGTGTTCCAGTTCTTTGCTCTGCTATGTCACAGGAGGATTCCCTGTTCATATAGACAGCTGGAATGCAGCATCCTGACAAGCTGTATTAGGAGAGCCAGCAGCAGATGTTCATAAACACACAACTGTGCAGACTAATTTTCCAGAAAAATACAGACTTGCTATACAAAGACAGCTAACAAAAATTGTGCAGTATAATTTCTCATTCACAAGAACATATTAAAGGAACACTAAAGCGGTCAGAAAACAGACGCAAAAGTTGTCTTAACCCTGCAAACATACTTTTGAAACATCTTTAGATTGTAAACTAGTTTCACTATTCACTTACTGCTCTTGTATGTCATGTGTTTTGTTAGAATTAAAGGACCACTATAGTGCCAGGAAAACCTACTCGTTTTCCTGGCACTATAGTGCCCTGAGGGTGCCCCCACCCTCAGGGACCCCCTCTCGCCCAGCTCTGGAAAGGGGTAAAGGGGAGCTCTCTGCCTCCAATCCTTCTCCGTTCCTCCCCGTCCGCTGGCTGCGCGCGCATTTAGCCGGTCGCATAGGAAAGCATTATCAATGCTTTCCTATGGACGCTTGCGTGCTCTCACTGATTTTCACAGTGAGAATCACGCAAGCGCCTCTAGCGGCTGTCAATAAGACAGCCACTAGGGGATTTGGGGGAAGGCTTAACCCATTCATAAACATAGCAGTTTCTCTGAAACTGCTATGTTTATAAAAAAAAAAAAATGGGTTAACCCTAGCTGGACCTGGCACACAGACCACTTCATTAAGCTGAAGTGGTCTGGGTGCCTAGAGTGGTCCTTTAAGAGGCGCTACCTGCTCCAGAGTTTATCTCCATGAGGACTTACAGTGTATTCTAAATACACATAGGAAAGCATTGCGTGAGGTTTTTTTAACCATTTAATTGATGAGTGCGGGGTGGGGGACAAAGGGACACTAGAAGGTTAGAAGTGCAACTCTGTATTCCTAACACTACAGTGCCCATATCATCTGAATCCTATTGAATAACACAATCATTTGCTGAATGCATGAAGCTTGGACTGAAAGCACTCATCCTACAGTATCTAAAGAGGTGTCCAACTTTTTAAGTCTGCCTACAACTCACATACATTTCTGACATTGTTTTACCAAACCACCTGGAAGTCAAATGTTAAGCCTCTTACCACGTAATTTTTTGCTCAAATGTAAAAAAAAAAAAAATTTTCAAATAACATTTATACACACACACACATTTTATTTTTCTTTGTGAGGAAAGTTAGCATGAATGGGAAAAATCACAGGGCTTTGATAGAGGGCATAGACATTTGTGGCAAAAAAAAAAAAGTCAACAGAAAGTCAATTCACAAAAGGAATGAGATTTTTTTTATTCTGAAGAGGGATTTGAAGCGGTACTTAACATTAGAAAAGCAATGCTTGAGACAAGCTTTACAGCAGAGCATATTATAAGCAAGCATATTCATTATTCAGAAATGCAAGAAGTGCAAATTAAAAGGAAACCTATAGTCCTGAAAATAATAGTTATTTTAGGCTATATGTTGACATAACATGTGATCTCTAATCCATTTCTATGGATTGGAGATTGTCGCAATCCTCCAATCAAATGCGGCTACCAGTAAGGAAGACAGCCACCAGAGGTAGATATAACCCCGCCATATGAACATTGCAAAATTAGAAAAACAGGAAACCTGGACTCAGACCACTTAATTGAGATTAAATGGTCTAGGTGACTATAGTGTTTAGACAAGTACAAACCCTTTTTAGAAATAGTATCTGTAATTTAAAGGGACACTACAGTCACCAGAACAACTACAGCTTATTGTATTTGTTCTGGTGAGTAGAATTATTACCTTCAGTCTTTTTGCAGTAAACACTGTCTTTTCAGAGAAAATGCAATGCCTACATTACAGCCTAGTGATAACTCCACTGGCCACTCCTCAGATGGCTGCTAGATGTGCTTCCTGCAGCAGTCACGGACATTCAGTGTCTCCACCCTCTGCATGGAGACACTGAACTTTCCTTGTAGAGATGCAATGATTCAATGCACCTCTATGAGGAGATGCTGATTGACCAGGTCTGTGTTTGGCTTGTGCTGGCTCTGTCCCTGATCTGCCTCTGTCAGTCTCAGCCAATCCTATGGGAAAGCATTGTGATTGTCTCAGATCATAACTTCTGATGTTATCCAAGCAGACAGATCAGGGGCAGAAGCAACAGCTGTAGACTTTAATACAAGTAAGATTTTATTATATTTAGGGAGACAAAGAGAGGTCGGGGGAGGGGTGGTGGTTAGATGGTCATATTAACTCTATATGGTCAGGAATACATGTTTGTGTTTCTGACCCTATAATGTTCCTTGAAGGATTGGAGATCACTGATTAAATAGGCAATTTGTATAAAAGTTCTTCAATGGCTAGGTCTCAGATCACAGGCAGGGTTCTCTTTACCTTTTGTATTGGTCTGTGTATACTGTACACCGCTCCCCCTACATGCAGGTGACAGTTGTACAGATATAAAAAATAAATAAAAAAAATTTAAAGGGACTTTTTTATTTCCTTATGCCCCATGTATGTTAGCAACATATCCATATCTGGGGAAAGCCATCTTGTTCTCCTCTGTGCATGAGATATGCTGTACACCCTGCTGTAGGACACATTTTACTGACTGATTGTGGGTAAAGTTGATTGGCAACTAAAACACAACTTTGCTTAGGCTAGCTATACCCATTGTCTAGTTTTGTCAAGTTAACTGCAATACATAAGGAAAAGTAGTTTTTACTTTTCATTACGTATTTTATAAAAACTTGCGTGTCTAGAAAAATCAGACACATGAAGCTATAAAGAAACAGATTAGATAAAGTTTAATTTTGTTGAGAGCCACATAGACTAGAGCAGCATTTCCCAAATGGGGTTCCGGCAAAATTTTGCAAAACAAAATGGCTGGTGCGACAATTGAGGGGGGCGGTGAGGGAGTTGAGCAGGGGAGAGTCTGTGTGTGGGTCACCGCCTAAATTATCGCGGCGCCACAACAGTGATGCCGGAGCCGAAATACGATGCATGAGGGAGCTGAGCAGGAAGATCACTTCTCTATCGCCACCTGCATGGCAACTGCTCAGCCCAACAGCACCACTGGACCCCAGGGACTGCACGACAGCCGCTCAGCCCAGCAGCCCCACTGGACCCCATGGGAAATAGAGACTCCATGCCAGCAGTCCCAAAGGTAGGGAGTCTGGGTGGAGTGAAATTTAAAAAACAAAAAAAAAATTTTTTTATTTTTTTTATTTTTTTTTTATTGTGTGGGTCGGTTAAGGAGTTTGTATGTGTGTGTCAGTGAGAGTGTATATGTGCCTGTCAAAGAGTATGTGTGTTTGTCAGTGAGAGTGCATGTGTGTGTCAGTGTGTGTATCTGTGTCAAGGTTTGTGTATGTGTCACTGTGTGTATCTGAGTGTGTGTGTGTATGTCAGTATGTGCGTGCCTGTGTGTGAGTGTGTGAGAATGTGTCACTGTGTGACACACATAGATACACACACCTTGACACACAGATACATGCACACACACACTGTGCGTATATCTGTGTGCATCTGTGTGTCAGATTCATACACACACGCACACACTGGCATATACAAACACACCTTGATACACAGACACACAGTGGCATATACAAACACACCTTGATACACAGACACACTGGCATATACAAACACACCTTGATACACAGACAAACACCGGCATATACAAACACCTCGAACACAGACACACACCGGCACATACAAACACAGATACACAAACCTTGACACTGTGTCAAGGTGTGTGTATCTGCGCGCCACTATGTGCCAGTGTGTGTGTGTGTTTGTCAACGCCTAAATTATCACAGCGAAACAGCAGTGATGCCGGAGTAGGAATATGACGTCACTCCGGCATCACTAAGAGGCGCATGAGGGAGCTGAGCAGGAAGATCACTGCTCAGCCCAGCGGCACCACTGGACCCCAGCCGTTCAGCCCAGCAGCCCCAGTGGACCCCTGGGAAATAGAGACTCCATGCCAGCACTCCCAAAAGGTAGGGAGGCAGGGTGGAGTGAAAGTAAAAAAAAAAAAAAAAAAAAAATTTAAAAATTTTTTGTGTGTCTGTTAAGGAGTTTGTATGTGTGTGTCAGTGAGAGTGTATCTGTGTTTGTATGTGTGCCTGTCAAAGAGTATGTGTGCTTGTCAGTGAGAGTGTGTGTATGTGTGTATATGTGTCAAGGTTTGTGTACGTGTCACTGTGTGTATCAGAGTGTGTGTGTGTGTGTGTGTGTGTATATATATGTCAGTGTGTGTATAGGTGTGTGTGTGTCAGTGTGTTTGTATGTGTCACTGCGTATCTCTGAGTCAAGATGTGTGAATGTATATATGTGTGTGTGTGTGTGTGTGTGTGTGTCAAGGTGTATGTGTGACACACACACACACCTTGACACAGATACATGCACACACACACTGTGTCAAGGGGTGTGTGTGTGTGTGTGTGTGTGAGTGAGTGACACACCGATACATGTACACTGTGTGTCAAGATGTGTGCATCGGTGTGTATTTGTGTGCATCTGTGTGTCAGATTCATAAACACTGACACACAGATACACACACTGGCATATACAAACACACCTTGATACACAGACACATACCAGCACATACTAACACTTGATACACACACTGCAATTCCGTAGCAAGACATAATTACATCACTGCAACAGCACCAACTATTTTAGAAGCAATCCCTGCTGCATTTAGACTCCTGACGCTATGGCACATTTCACACAGATTTGACATTTTACACAGCCTACCATGTTACTGCTTAGGAGACAGCTATGTAGCATTTTGACAGAATACGTGTGTGTGTGTGTGTGTGTATGAATATATATTTATAGTCGGTTAATATCGTGAAATACCTTGTGATTGGAAATTAAGTCGGGTGGGTGTGCCGGGTCCGACGTAGGGGTAGGCCTGTAAAATGGGGCCTCTCGGAAGACTGTATAGGTAAGAGGGTGAGAGGTGGGGTGAAAAGTATTTGCAATTTAGTTCAATCAATAAAAATAAATCAATTTATTGCCTTATTATTCCATTTTAAACATGGAATACACACACAGGGGACAAGTTTAAGATGCAAGAGATATGATTATAACAATTCTGATAGAAAGGCACACCAGGCTGAACAAATACACTTTTATTGCTCCAAATTACTCAAAGGAAGACTCCAGGTACCATAATTACTAGAGCTCACTGTAGTGGTTCTGGTAACAGGAGAGTCCTGTAAACATTACCCCTACCCGCTGCTGTAAGTAGTCAAATTATTTATGAATAGTTTGTTTTCTTACTCAAGTCCACTAGCATCTGATGGAAGTTTCTTAGCATTACAAACTCCTGAGCAACGTCCTGCATTGCTCAACCTTGAAACAGTTCAATTGTTACTCTAACCAAAAATCAGCCTGATCCTACAAAGCGGACATCACTTGACATTGGGAAGGTGGTCAAGGAGGGTTACAGTGAGGACATAGGTGGCACGGAGAGGGGTTGTGCCATCATTGGCTGTTTGGCACCAGCATGCTGCGCGTACTAGATACCAAATTTGCAGAGGATTCACATTAGCCACCTGAAACAGACCGAAGTGGAGCTACAACTCCAGCAGCAGATATTTTAAGCAAGTCATAGCAAAGCACTGCTCATACAGACTCTAGGCATCAATGCAGTGATTATAAAACCATTTAACAATTTAGTAGATACCTTCCAAAATAAAAAGGTTGTAAAAAATTAGATTGCAATAAGCTGCAGATCTAATATCTGCAGCTACTTTAAGCCTTCCCATCTTTCACCGGCACAGACTATTGAGAGCATTGACAGGCTGATTAACAGAAGCGAAAGAAAAACTCCATGGAAATCTGATTGACAGCCAGCGAGGTGTGACAGCAGTAATTTGTAAAAGTGAAATCAGCCCATTTGGGAAATAAATAAAACAAAGTACCGTATATACTCAAGTATAAGCCGACTTTTTCAGCACATTTTTTATACTTGAGTGAGTTTCACCTGTTCTCTGTGTCCAGCTGGCCTGTTTCGCCAGCGCAATAGGTGGCATCTTCTCCCTGTACTCTGGATGTAAATTTCCCCTACCTGTACTTCTGCGCCTGCACAGCACACTCCCTCCCCCAGCTGGGAAACACGTCCGGTGCGGCTGCATCACAGGAAGTGACGTGGGTATAGCATTCTGACTCCAGGAGTCCTGACAAAGGGAGCTGCGACGGAGGAGTCGCCAGCCCCAGCTTGGGTTGCCTTGGGCTACCAGTATGTGGACACAACTCGCCCACCTGCCTGGAACTGCAGTCTGCGTACGAGTTGGAGGACTTTGATACTGTAACTACAGTGCGGGAGTCCTGATCTGGCTTTCCAATCACACTGTCACTTATTTAAAAAAAAAAAAAATTTTTTTAAAAAGACAAGTTTGGTGATGCTGAGCATCCTGTGATGTGTAGTCTAACATCTGTAACAGCAAGAGAACCCTAGTCAGATACAGCTGTATTGTACAAAGGTTTGTGAACTACAAGCATCAAATAAGGATGGGATCCACAACCTGAACACGGTTAGACATGTAGCAGACAATGACTTAAATTCCAGCTCATTGTAATCTACCAGTGTGGTCAGTGACCTATGATGTAGCATGCTAAACTCCCCAAGGCTTTTATTAGCACAGCTGTACCAATTTATTGATTTTGGCTTGGGCATTTCATGGTTAATAGGGACCTCAGAACAATTAAAGTTAATATTTCCTATTTTTGTTTTTGAAATTTACCAGTAGCTGCTGCATTTCTCACCCTATGCTTATACTAGAGTCAATAAGTTTTCCCTTTTTTTGTGGTAAAATTAGGTGCCTCGGCTTATATTCGGGTCGGCTTATACTAGAGTATATACGGTACTTCAGCGAGTGTTTGCAGTGTTTCTTTTTAGATGATCAGTCTCAGCACCAAAGTACTTTAAGCACCAAAGACCACTGATTTCTGAGAGGCTTTTAACAGCAGCTATTTTTAAAACTTTAACTAGACAATTAAATTGTTCAGCAAATATAAGGCCATACTTTGTGAAAGTGTAAATAATATGTTTTTTCAACAAGCTAATATTTTACAATACGCCAAAGCGCAACCAGTAAATATAGTTTAGAGCTGCTGATAAATAAAATAAAACTAGTCTCGGAGTGATCTCAATTACAGCAGGAATTTTTATTTTTTATTTTTTTTAAATGCAGATGTCAGCTAAGACATTAATTACTTTGTGGTAATTTCAAGCATCAGGAAGTGACAATTAAAGCTCTAATAAACATTTGCCACTGAAGGCATGGCATTTAAACAAATCTAACTGCCTCAGAAGAGCAAATTAGTATTTAACATATCTGAAGTGTCCATTTATAGGATTCCAGGTTATGTACCAACACAGGGGTGTTAGGTATTCAATATTTTAGCACCTGTTAATCACAGGATTTAGAGTTCTGAATTCCAAAAAATACCAATACTAAGCAACATAAACACCTTAACCCCTTAAGGACTGAGCCAAATGTGCACGATGTGATCAAAACAAAACGTAAACAAAAACTGGAATTTGCGCTATATGTCTGTTCAGGCATAATTCGCTTCTTTCATATTATGTGCACCCACACTTATTATATATAATTTTATTCAGGGGAAACCGGGCTTTTATTTAACATCAAATATTTAGGTATGAAACATAATTTAATATGAATAAAATATAAAAAATGGGGAAAAATAAGAATGTCATAATACTGTTTGCTTTTACTGCAATAAAATACACATTTGTGTTCAGCGATGTCTCACGTGTAAAACAGTACCCCTATGTCAGTCATGGCGAACCTGTGGCACGCGGCCATAGGTTCGCCACCAATGCGAGTAGGCACCTGTCTGCCCAAAACTGCAGGAGCCTACTCTGCTTCCGTGTCGGGAGGGAGGAATCTGTGAAGCAGCTCCCCTGTACTCCAGCGAGCAAGATGCGTGGAGCGTTGCCGCGCATTACCATGGCAACGCTCCACACAGAATCGCGCGGGAGGACAGGGGAGCTTCTTCACAGATCCCTCCCCCTGCCTCCCGACACGGAAGCAGTGCTTGCCACCACCGGACCACCAGGGATGGCTGTGTGTCCCCTTCCTTCATTAAAGGTAATAAGGAGGGAGTGAGGGGGGGATACTGATTTAGCATACTTTATTTATTAACACCTTTACCCTACCCCCCACACACACAGTACCCCTTCCCCTCCTCCCCCACACACACACACGACGGCATAGAAATTCCTGCGGTCTTAAGGGGTTAAACAAAATAAATAAATCCTTGAAATACCTTGCGGAATAATAATAAAGTTCATTTACAATACTGTAAAGCTGGACGAAAATTTTCCGTCATGCTTTTCCTAACGTTAATGACTCATGACAGAAAATTTCCGTAATTAACCAACGTTAATCCCAGATCGTGGCAATTGAGGGGTTAACGCTGCTCCTGTCTGCCTCGGTAGGCGAGGCAGACTGGGAGCACCCAACCGCGCCGTCCCTGTATCTGTGATCGCTCTGACAGGCTGTTAGAGCAAGCACATGTGCTGCAGGGACTTCTGGTCCGTCTCCCTGTACTTCCGCAGTCAGTGTGAAGTGCAGGGAGACAGATCAGTGCTGATCTGCTTATCCCAGTTAAAAAAAAAAAAAAAATACAGGGATAAATCCCACCTCCCTTTTCCCTTCCTTTATTAAAATTAACCCCTTTTCTCTGCCAATTGATCACGGACTACATTTTACTATAATCTCATGTATTTGTTTACTATATCTATATATAGATATACCACTACACCTGGAACAAACTAGCAAAAATATGATCCCATGCTAATGTTCAAAAGATGCCCTTGAAAATACCCTGGGATGTCTTCTTTAATAAATTATATGCCTTTATGGTGTTGTTGGAATATGTCACCTCCTAAAAGTGCTCCAAAATGGAACACGAACCATCAGCAGTATCTATGAAAATCCACCTCTAAAAACCTTAACTTGTCACGTCTCTTTTACAGCACTGTAACTTCACAAAATAGTATCTAGGTCATACATTGGGCATTCTGTTTTACTCAGAAGATGTAACTGAGCATAATTTGGGGAATTTTATGACTGTAGTACATATCAAGTGTAAGAAATACCCAGACACAATGCAACATGTAGGTAAAAAAATATATATATTTTTTTAAATGCACTTTTTCTCCTCACAACAAGCTTTGACATAAATTGGTGAAAAAATACGCCATATAAGATAGTCTGGAGTGTCTGCTTTCTCAAATGGAAGGACTTTGTGGGGTTATTTGAGCATTCAAATAGCTATAAATACCCCTAAATGAGACATAGGCCCGTCAAATCAATCTATGAAAATTCTAACTATAGAAACTGAAATAGCACGGTCTCTTATATGGCATTGTAGCTTCACAGAATAGTGCCAAAGGCATACAATAGGGGTATTATTATACCCAGCAGATGTAGGTGAACACAATATGGGGTTCTGTACAGGAATAGCACACACCAGCTTTACGAAATATACATTTAAAAAAAAAAAAAAAAAAACCCTTGTTATCTGTGTAAATGCCAAAATAGAGAAAAAACTATTTTACTTTAGAGGTTAGCAATGAAATGGCTACATCAAGTGTCAAAATAACCTTGGGTAAATAGCGTGTGATGTCTACTTTATATTAATATATACTTTTGTGCGACGGCTACTAAACTTACAAGACAAACATACCAACTTCTAAAATTGTTTCACATAAAAAATTTATTTTAAGCCTTGTATTTTGTGACCTGTAACTTTAAAAATAAGATGAAATCCAATACATATTATGTACTCTATAAATCAAGACATGATTTTATTTTGAATTACTTTTCCTAAGCTGGACATATTATGCACACGCCCCTCCCCTCCCCCCACCCCTCACCCAAAAAAAATGCAAAAATTGCTTGTGTTCTTAAAGCACCACAATAGTGCCAGGAAAACACTTGTTTTCCTGGCACTATAGTGCCCTGAGGGTGCCCCCACCCGCCGGGCTCTAGGGGGTGGAAGGGGTTAAATTTACCTCATTTCCCAGCGCCGGGCAGGGTGCTCTCCTCCTCCTCCTCAGCGGCTGAATGCGCATGCGCGGCATGAGCCGCACGCACATTCAGCCAGGCCATAGGAAAGCATTGATGCTGGCCTCTTCTCACTGTGAAAATTACAGTGAGAAGTGCGGAAGCGCCTCTAGTGGCTGTCAATGAGACAGCCACTAGAGGCTGGATTAACCCTAAAGTAAACATAGCAGTTTCTCTGAAACTATGTTTACTACAAAAAGGGTTAAACCTAGCTGGACCTGGCACCCAGACAACTTCATTAAGCTGAAATGGTCTGGGTGCCTATAGTGGTCCTTTAAGGGTAAGAAACTTATGAAATGGTGTCTTTAAGAGGTTACGGTAACTAAAAAGAGGTTGTGTTTATGTGCAATGATGTCGAGTGACAATTCAGAGCAATATACTTAACAGGTGAATACAACAAAATTTACATTCCAGTTTGCCCCACGACTAAAAATATGAAAACAATCATTATGAAGATAAAGGAGTAAGACCAAAAATAGCAAAGGCAAGTTATGGCCCAACAGTGGTAGCCAGCATCAATGATGGCCAACATATAGCTTTAATGACGTACAGCCAGTGAAATGTCACAGCTGGAGCTTTAAAATATATAGTCCTATTACCTGGCTAGCAGCACGCAGTATAGATAGTCCTATTACCTGGCTAGCAGCACGCAGTATGGGTAGTCCTATTACCTGGCTAGCAGCACGCAGTATAGGTAGTCCTATTACCTGGCTAGCAACACGCAGTATGGGTAGTCCTATTACCTGGCTAGCAGCACGCAGTATGGGTAGTCCTATTACCTGGCTAGCAGCACGCAGTATGGGTAGTCCTATTACCTGGCTAGCAGCACGCAGTATGGGTAGTCCTATTACCTGGCTAGCAGCACGCAGTATGGGTAGTCCTATTACCTGGCTAGCAGCACGCAGTATGGGTAGTCCTATTACCTGGCTAGCAGCACGCAGTATGGGTAGTCCTATTACCTGGCTAGCAGCACGCAGTATGGGTAGTCCTATTACCTGGCTAGCAGCACGCAGTATGGGTAGTCCTATTACCTGGCTAGCAGCACGCAGTATGGGTAGTCCTATTACCTGGCTAGCAGCACGCAGTATGGGTAGTCCTATTACCTGGCTAGCAGCACGCAGTATGGGTAGTCCTATTACCTGGCTAGCAGCACGCAGTATGGGTAGTCCTATTACCGGGCTAGCAGCACGCAGTATGGGTAGTCCTATTAGCAGCACGCAGTATGGGTAGTCCTATTACCTGGCTAGCAGCACGCAGTATGGGTAGTCCTATTACCTGGCTAGCAGCACGCAGTATGGGTAGTCCTATTACCTGGCTAGCAGCACGCAGTATGGGTAGTCCTATTACCTGGCTAGCAGCACGCAGTATGGGTAGTCCTATTACCTGGCTAGCAGCACGCAGTATGGGTAGTCCTATTACCTGGCTAGCAGCACGCAGTATGGGTAGTCCTATTACCTGGCTAGCAGCACGCAGTATGGGTAGTCCTATTACCTGGCTAGCAGCACGCAGTATGGGTAGTCCTATTACCTGGCTAGCAGCACGCAGTATGGGTAGTCCTATTACCTGGCTAGCAGCACGCAGTATGGGTAGTCCTATTACCTGGCTAGCAGCACGCAGTATGGGTAGTCCTATTACCTGGCTAGCAGCACGCAGTATGGGTAGTCCTATTACCTGGCTAGCAGCACGCAGTATGGGTAGTCCTATTACCGGGCTAGCAGCACGCAGTATGGGTAGTCCTATTACCTGGCTAGCAGCACGCAGTATGGGTAGTCCTATTACCGGGCTAGCAGCACGCAGTATGGGTAGTCCTATTACCGGGCTAGCAGCACGCAGTATGGGTAGTCCTATTACCGGGCTAGCAGCACGCAGTATGGGTAGTCCTATTACCTGGCTAGCAGCACGCAGTATGGGTAGTCCTATTACCTGGCTAGCAGCACGCAGTATGGGTAGTCATATTACCTGGTTTCGGCTGCTCGTGTACTCGGTCTCCCGGAGCTGCTCCAGTCGGTCTCTCAGGGTGAGCCTCTGGTGGAAGGAGAAGGCCGGGTGCAGGGAGGCCATAGTAAAGAGCAGTAGTAGCTCCTCTCGGGCAGCCTCCGCCTCCCCGGGATCCCTGTCCTCCTCCTCCAGGCCGGCGGCAGGCAGTAGCAGCAGACGATAGAGCCGACCGGCTACCTCCCGGTTCTCGGAGTTTAGTAGGGCCAGATATACGATGAGGCGGGCCCGGGCCGCAGGGTCCGCCAGGTCCCCCAGCAGCTGCTCCCCGCTTGGCCCGTTAGCCCGGCTCTCGCAGTCCCTCAGATAGTGGCAGTCCTTGCGGGCCAGGTCCTCCAGGCAGGAGCCCAGGAAGCGTAGCTCCAGCGGGTTACACAAGTCAAGTAGTCCGCAGGCCAGCTCCATCCTCTGAGCGGGGCCCAGACACTGAACGAACCACTCGTACACCTCCTCCCGCTGCAGGCAGCCGGCCTGAATCTCACAGGGGCCACGCATGCCGGCGGGCCGCCTCTCCTCCTCGTCCTCCTCCTCTTCATCGGACGCCCTGTGCTTGCACTTCTTCTGGGGCAGCTTCATCCTCAGCATTATCGGCGGCTCCACCCGGGCTGCATCCAACGGCTCGGGCGAGCTCTCAGTGGCGGCGGGCTCAGAGTTTAGAGCTGGCAGGACATAGCGCGTCGCCGCGTGAGGGAGAGCTGGAGAATCTTCACACTAATACTCCGCGTTCCAGAACGCTCCGTCTCGAACCCCGCAATCCCCAGCCTGCCTGACGGATGACGTTACAGCAGCGTGGCGCGGTCCTGGGAAGCCCGCAATGTGACAGGTTGGCCTCCCGCCCTGCTTCCTGGGAGTGGGCGGGGCCTCTCTCCTCTAGCTCGGGAGCGCGCATGGCTAACGGGTTGAGGGGAGTGTCAGTAGAACCCAGAGATGGTACATTAGCTGTCTGTGCACCGAGCTCATCGCAACGCAATGACACGCTTTATTCACTATACCAGTAATTGGGTTTTCTACTGTTCGTCTATGTTGGACTGGGATTAGGGCCGGACTGGGAATTCAAAGTAGTCCTGGGAAAAAAAATGTATGCCAGCCCCATAAGTCCTTGTGCAACATAATGTATATGTGTGTGTCAGGGCTGTCTTTAATATTGAATGGACCCTGGGTGAGCATTTGCTTGGGTCCCCTGGACCCTGCCACCGTTACCTCCTCGTTATATATATTTGGGATTTAACACCAAAATGTGTGTGTTTGTATATAGTGTTGATATTTCAATGCAGGGGTGTGTTTGTAGTGTTGAAGTTTGAATGCAGTGGTGTATTTGTAAGTAGTGTGGGCATATGCGTGCGCACGAGGTGTGCCTGGGCACACCCTAATCCCTGCGGCACGCCGGTGAGTCCTGCAGGAACACGTGGGAACACCGTTCCCGCTTTTCCTGCAGGCACTCTGCCACCCCCAAATACCCTCCTCCTCCCCTGTGTTCCCCCTGTCATGGGGGGGAGGAGGAAGAGGTGTTGGGCGCCTATCTCCATACAACAAACGGTGAGAGAGCTGTGTGCTCTCTGATTTCTCTCGCCGCATGCCATATGCTGATGCCGGGAGCCTGAAAATGTCGTCATATTCCGGCTCCCAGCTACAGCAGACAGCCCACACGGCGAGAGGGAGCAGAGAGCACACAGCTCTGTCACAGCTTGTTGTATGGAGATAGGCGCCCGACCCACTGGATCTCACGGACAAGCTCTCCAGGTAGGGAGGCTGGGTGGACAATTTTTAATAAAAAAATAATTTGTGTGTGTATGTGTGTGTGTGAATGTCTGTATGTGTGTGTGTCTGTGAATGTAAGTGTGTGTGTCTGTGAATATATTTGTGTGTGTCTGAGTATGTGTGTGTGAGTGTATGTGTGTGTACGCGTGTATATATATATATATATATATATATACACACGAGTGTATATTATTTTTTGGGGGGGGGGGTGGGAATCTTGGGAGAGTTCCCACACTTTATTCCCCAGGACTTGACCCCTGCCGGCAGGGGAGATCTCCGGATCTCCCTTGTCGGCTCATGCCGAGCTGGCGCTATATGAGTGCCGGCTCTGCTCTAAGCCTCCATGGGCCGGCGAGGAGATCAAAGATCTACCTCACCAGCCCGCAGCAGCATGGAGGGAGGCAGGAGAGGACCCGGGGAGCTCTAGACAGAAGCTCCGCCAGGTTCCTCTCGCGAGATCTAAGCATTGCCGTGGCAATACTCAGATCTCACGAGAGTGAACTTTAGCCCCGCAGGCTAGAGTTCACTCTCCCTTGGACAGCAAGGATCCCCCTCCCTACAGAAGGTAAGAAGGGAGGGGGGTTATTTACTAATCTGCCCCCATCTTCACAATCCCTCCAAACATACAACACACACATACAGCACCCACACACACACACAGCACCCTAACACAAACAGCGCACACACACAGCACACAAACAGCACCCTCACACAAACAGCACACATACAGCACCCTCACACACAGAGCATCCTCACACACACACACAGCACCCTCACAAACACACACACACACAGCACCCTTACAAACACACAACACCCTCACACACAGCACATTAACAGCACCCTCACAAACACACACAGCACCCTCACACAAACAGCAGCCTCACAAATACACGACACAAACAGCACACACACACATCACACAAACAGCACCCTCACACACACAGCACACCAACAGGACCCTAACCTCACACACACAGCACACCAACAGGACCCTAACACACATACACAAACACCCTCACACACAGCACACCACCAGCACCCTCACACACAGCACACAAACAGCATCCTCACACACAAACCGCAACCTC